GAAGACTAGGCCTTAGTTAGGTTTCAGACCAGGTCATGACATAAAAACAATGTTAATTGTAATGAGATCTCCTGAGGCCAATGGATAGAGGCCAGATATCTGATGACTCATGGTTTTGGTGGCCTTTGACATCGTTAAGCATGTGCAATTACTGACACCACTGCATGACCTGGCTTAGAAAGATGAATTTGTCTTAGACTGGTTCCACTCACTCCTTTCCAATTGTTCCCAGATGGTGAAGGATGACTTCTTTCTTCCAGCTGTATGGTCCTTTGCAGAGCTCAATACTAATCATCTCTTCTGTTCAACATTTATATAAAGGCACTCAAAATTATCATGACCCAGTGTCATCAGAACACCAGTGACATACCGCTCTACTTTGTTTTATGTTTTGATCTTGGAACTACTGTCCCCACACTCTATCAGTTTCTGGCTGGCACATATTAGGAGATGGATGAGAGCCAGCTTGATGCAGCTCAAACCAGACAACATAGAGGTGACACTAATTGGTGGGAAAAGCACTCTAAAGAGCTGGTGAAATGTGAATGCTGATCTATAGCCATCTGTCCAGCCATTACCAATGTACTCTGCATTTAAGGGGTTTCACTAAAACATCAATGTCCAACCTGTATTAAGAAGAAAATTTGTACACAAGATCCTCAAAGTTCTTTCCCAATCAGTATCACTTCCATCTTGTTTCATATTGAAAATATGTTTCCAGAGCCATGCCCCAGGATTTTAAAACTGGTAATAAATAATAACGTAACAAAAAGGATTTTCCCCTCAAGCATTTTGATGTTGGGGTTTATTTTTTTAGAGACACTGTCAAAGGGTGCAGCAAAAGACATTTTATCTAGTTAATTTTAATTTGGAAACGGTTAAAAAAAATTAAACCCAATATAAAGTTAAATACTTCAACATACGACCACCCAAAGGTTTCCTGTATATTGCTTACTAGAAATTTGCAGTCTTACAATTTAAAGTCCAGTCCACCAAGTTGCCTAAAGCTGGAGAAAGGATCAAAAGGGCAAAAAAGTTGTCTCCAACTCCAGTCCTGCTTCCAGGAGAGGAGGAGGGCAATCTAGCCATGAATTGCTGAGGTACCCCCAACCACTTGTTTGTCATGTGCATGCTTACATTTGGTTCGTTTGGACTTTTTGTGTAGCAATATCCCCCTCTCCTCCACCTTTGAGATGTGACACAATTGCAGTACCATCTCTGTGTCCATGCAGGATAATAATATTATTATGAGTGCAATGTCTTTACACTAGATTACTTTGTGACCTGGGGTCACCAAGGTGTCAATTGCCCTATGCTGGCAGAGAAACCAGGGACTGGTGGTCTCCTCAAACTGGCACAAGAGCCAAGATCCTCAAAGCCTAAATAGTTCTGAGGCCAATGTAACTGGCAGGAAATCTCAAACAATGATTCAGTAAGCCATGGCACAAAAAGCAAAATCCTCTATCAGCAGAGGACGAGAAGCGCATCTACATGGGATGGGGTTCCCACGAATGTCTCCCCCAATTAGACTTAAGCAAGGGTGAGAAACGACAGACACAGGGCACGCAGTGCAGGCCAGTGCAACATTTAGTGTGTCCAACCATGAGGCTGCCCCACCCCATCCCTAAAGCAGGGGACTAGGAGCTGCAGCTGCCAGGATAGATGGAAGCTGCTTTTCTGCACCCCAGGAGTAGGGTGACCAGCAGGGCCGGCTCTAGGATTTTTGCTGCCCAAAGCAAAAACAATTTTGGCCACCCTCCCTCCCCCTGTTCTTTAATTACACCACCCCCGGCCCCGCCTCAACTCCGCCCCTTCCCCAAATCCCCAGCCCTGCGTCCTCCCCCCAGGCTCTCAAGCCTAGGAGGGAGGGGGAGATCCTGAGCGGCCGTTTCGCACGCTGCTGCTCCCCCTCCCTCCCAGGCTTGGGAGCCAGGGAGGGAGGGGGAGAAGCGGTGCCCGCGCCGCGGCCACTCGGAGTCTCCCCCTCCCTCCCAGGTTTGAGAGCCTGGGAGGGAGGGGGAGACCCCGAGCCGCCACGGCGCGCGAAACAGCTGATTCGCGTGCCGCTGCTCCCCCTCCGTCCCAGGTTTGAGAACCTGGGAGGGAGGGTGAGTAGCGGGGCGCGAATCAGCTGTTTTGCGCGCCATGGCAGCAGCAGCGGAGGTGAGCTAGGGCGGCTGGGGCACATTTTTAGGGGTGGCATTGTGGCGCCGGCCATGCCGCCCCAAGCACCAGCTTGTTTTGCTGGTGCCTAGAGCCGGCCCTGGTGACCAGATAGCAAGGGTGAAAAATCGGTGGGGGGGGGGGAGGTAATAAGACCCTATATAAGAAAAAACCCGAAATATCAGGACTATGCCTATAAAATCGGGACATCTGTTTACCCTACCCTAGGGTGACCAGATGTCCTGATTTTATAGGGACAGTCCCGATTTTTGGGTCTTTTTCTTATATAGGCTCCTATTACCTCCCCACCCCCTGTCCCGATTTTTCACATTTGCTGTCTGGTCACCCTACCCCAGAGTATCGGACAGGGAGGGCTCCTGTGCGGTCACACAGACCCCTCTGGATGCACGGTTCCCTACACTAACTGGCCTGCGAGAGGCTTACAGGCAGCAGCAGTGGGAGGGCCAGAGCACAATGCCTATGGCCGGAGCTATTCTCCCGATCCCTGCGGAACGGAAGCCAACTCAGTGCACGTGGCAGGGCGGGGAGGAGCGACCAGCGTAGCCGCCGGTAGCTGCAGTATGGCGCCCCCGTCCCCGGTCGCCAATCCCAGGGTCTTCTTCGATGTGGACATCGGAGGCGAACGCGGTGTGTGAGGAAATGGAAGGTCCCCGGGCAGGGGGGGCGCGAGAGGGACCGTTCCCGGGAGGGGCGGCGATGGAACGCTGCCCCGGAGAACGGGCGCGAGAGCCCGGGGAAGGAGCGTTGGCGGCCGCAAGGTTCTCGGCGGGCAGCTCCGCTACAACCCCGCGGGGCGAGTCCGTGCAGCGCGCCGCGGCTGTCGCTCCCCAGCCCCCTCCCCCGGAGGGCGGGGTAGAAAAGGGGCAGCAGCAGCCGCAGTTTCTGCGCGCCTTGCTCGGGGCCCCGGGTGGCTCTTGTGCAGCCCCCGCCCCAAACTGCTTTGTGTTTGTAGCGCGTCGGGCTGGGAGACCCGGTACGGGGAGCGGAGGGGGGCTGGTCCCGGGAGCCTGGCGGGGGCTTCTGTGGGGAGTCCCCCTCTCATCCGAGAAGGGATTTGTGGCTGTCACGGCACAGCCTGCCTGCTGGCATCGCGGGGTTTGCGTGCACTTGCCCCGCCCTGTGCAGGCCCTGAGCGCTCCCAGCCCAGCCCTCTGTCGGGGCCTGCGTGTGGTGCGCAGGGGCGACACTGCTCCTGGGACAGTCCTGAGAGCCCTATCTGGGGACATGTCTACACTACAGTCCTAAGTAAGGAACATAGGTTGACTTACAGCTGCTGCAGTCATTATTGTGGTGGCTGGTGGCCCCCTTACTCTCCTTTTGTCCTTGATGTGCGACCTCACCAGGAGCGCTTCCAGTGACTGAAGTGGAGCGGTGGGGAATGGGGGGCTGAGAGCCAGCTACCCGCATGGAGCTCAGCTGCTACCCCTCCACCCCCCAGGGGCTTCTCACCTTCAGGTGCCCAGCTTAGAGCTGAGACCCAGCAGCAGCCCAGCTGGGGAGCCAGGAGCCTGCTTTCTTGTCAGTTTCAGGGCTCCCAGAACCCTGAATTGGACAAGACAGCCAATGCAAGGAATGCAGTGTCTCTACACAGATGCTGTGCATACCAACCTAAGCCTCTTGTGGAGGTGTTGGTTTAGTTGCTGTAGTAGGGCACTTACATCAGGGGGAGGAAGCCTGTAGTGTAGACACTGACATAGTTAGGCCAGCGTAAGCTGCCTATGTTGACCTAACTCTATAGTGTAGACCAAGTCTGGGCCACACAGGCAGCCAACCAGCATTTATGTTCTATACAGCTCTGAGTCAACCACATTGAGTCCAGCAGCTTGCCAGCCATGATCACAGACTGCTCTTCTCTATACCAGACTTGGCTGATGTGACCTCTCCCCCACACCTCCAGTCCTGAACTTTCCCAAACCCTGGTGCTCTGCAACATTGAGAGGAATACAACTATCTGTTTGCTCCTTTAAAGAGACAAATCGCAACAGCTTGCCATGTTCACTGGTGTTAACATTCACTTTAATTTAAACACGTGATGTTGGTTTAGATTAACAGTAAAGCATGTTTATTAACAGAAGAAGATAGGCTTTTAAGTGAGTTCAAGAATAAAAGTTAGAAATGTTTACAAACAAAAGTGAAAACACACATCTAAAAGTCTAAAACATAATTTAGCAAGGTACAGGCTTTGTTCAAGCAGGTACCTCATCTATAGTGAGTTTCTAGAGGCTTAAGAGCCCACCTTGGTTGAAGGACCTCTCTTTCCAAGCTTCCAAGAGCTCTGCTCCCATGTGTCTATCTAATGATGGACACAAAGATGGTTTCGGTTCTTGCTTATATCTTCCAGAGTTAAATAACTTTGTTTCAAGAGACCTTCTGACCTTTTTTTTTTTTCCGTTCTATGATCTTCCCATTTCATTGCTGATATCTGTGTAAATAGGGCTTCCATTGTTTGGATTCTTTCATACTTAATTTACATAGGAGACAGGTAAATAGCTTCCTTCTCTCCTCTCTGGGATAGAACCTGTCTCCATTTGTCCACAGATATCAAAGCATAATATCATTAAGTATCCACACTCCCTCATATAATGTTAATACATACATTTCACGGTGATATTAATCAGCAGAGTGTCATTAGCTTTCAGAAAAGACCTCACTCTAAATACTCTTATAGTACAGTCATATTGTGTATAATCAGCTCATTCACTTGAGATTCAGACTCCCTGTCTTTATAGACCAGTAAACCTTTGAAATGGATTCTTCTGAGGGTATGAAGGTTACCCCTCAAAGTAAAGTTTATTCAAGCTGTGAGGAAAACTGCATGACATCTAGTGGTGAAGGAAGCTCCATACTCTTTCTTCCCATGCTGGTGTCTACTAAAATGCAAATTGCTCTCTTTCCTACAATCTTGCTACGCCTCCCCCATCCCCACCCCTTGTTAATTTGATGACCCTATTTATTGTTTGGGTAATGGGTAAACCCCATTCCTTTGTTTAGGATAAACCTATTTTAAAATCTCCCCCAACGTGCCTGATAAACACACTTCAATCATAACTCCAGCATATATGCATAACTCTTAATACACACCGTGTACATACATCATGCAAGAATATTAATGATCAGTGAGTTAACTTTCAAATGATACCTCACTAGGCATATTTTGTACAAAGATTATAATAGTGTATACAATGTGAATAGAGAAAGGGGTGCTTAGGGCTACACCATCAGAATCCAGAGAAACAGACCCATGCACCAGGCTTCACAGGCTGACGATTAATTTGGGCATAACATGGGAGAGCAAATTATTGGGGATTTACCACCATAATAGGAGTCCTTGCTATGGCAATAAAGACACACAGTGTGATGTGTCTGCTACCCTAAAGAGTTCACAGTGTGCAGACCTGACTCCACAAACACTAATCGAAAGGCACAAGGTGCTATGTGAATGTCACACTTAAATCAGGGGCTGGCTGAAATACCACCCAGTCTGGGTCATATACTGTAGCACACACGATTGTTTTGACTTTGGATATGTGCCCCAGAGGGACTATTAGTGTCAACGTGCCATGTTCCATCTTGTTTAGAGTGATCCTCTCAGCTGGATAAAGTCTAGTAGCCCCTGATTCAAAACTTCATGTCACTTTATTGACTTTTTTTTTTTTAAAGTGCCATGGCACAGTCATAGCGAAACAGGACATAAGTTGGCTGCTGCTGCAAAAAAGGAAAGTTGCTGCTAGAGGGAGGAATAAGTGGTGGTAGCGGGGAATGATTCTTCATAGGTATTTTTGCCTCCAAAAGCGTGTTAGTCGATGGCCTCTTGAGATCATGGGTTTCACTGAAGTAGAACTTTCAAAAGCTACCTCCAACTTGTGTAAAACACATCAACAAAACAAAAGACACCAACAAACAAACAAACCAACAAACACAACAACAACAAAAAAACCAACCAACAAACAAACTACTCTTGGAAAATTTAGCTTTTCAAGATTTAGGTAAAGATAGACATTTCCATATTATCAGAATTTCATGTGTGATTTATTTAACGGTAATATTGAGAATAAAAAAGGTAAAAGTAAGCAATTCTTTAATAAATGCTAAAACCAACTTACTGAATTACAGTTTCAAACATTTTAATTTACTTTCACTCCCTTATTAGATTTAATGTTCATATATTTAGCTTTCATACACAAAATTATGTTAAGAATTGCCTTACTTGGAAGTTGTCTAATTGACTGTCAGATTGATGAGAAAACAGCAGCACCACTGACAGTTAACAGCTGCTTGGAGTGGAATCATTGTAAGAAGGCAGCTTTGTGAAATTAGATTAATGCTTTATGGATTTGTTTACCAATTGAGGTTTCATTTTTAAGTAAAAACATTTGTAGCATCTAAGAGTAGATGTTTTTTAAAGGGAAACTGTAGTTCCATTCAGTGATTGTCCACATACATAAAAGTGGTATTGCTTATAAATTTCTGTGGGATTGAAGTCTAAGTATGGAGATTAGGGCTGGTCAAAAAAATTCCATTTATACTATTTTTCAATGGAAAGAGGTTTGATTTTTTTTTTCCACAAAAAGTGTTCACTTTCTTTGGAAGATTTTGTTTAAAAAAATATGAATGGCTGAAAAACAACCCTGCATGGCCACCCTGGTTTTGAGCCAAAATATTTCGATTTTGATATTTCAACAAAAGTAGTTATCTTCCATGGAAAATGACAATGAAAAAGAAAAAGCAGTTGAAATTTTCCATAGAGCAAAACTCTATTTCCCCAACCAGTTCTAACAAGAATATATGCTGCACAAATGTGGTGCACTTTTAAGTCTATGCGAGTCCTGTGAGTATATCCAAGGGCAGAATTTGACTCATATAATATATGTGTGGATTGTTTTCAAATAGTTTTTAGACACATCTGTCATTGTCTCCCCCTTAACCAGTTCCCCCTTAATCAGTTTTTCACTGACTGTATCTATGGTAACAAACATTGTAGCTGTAATTCACTAGCTCCACCCATGGTAGCAGTAGGAGGGATATAGAAAATTGTATATTTTAAGAATTAGGTTAGTTGAATCAACAGTATTTAAGCCAATTCCCCCCCTGCCCTCCGCCCCTCTCCTACACTTATAGAACTGCCATATAAACATGTTTGTCTTGAGATGTTGGGCTCTTCCACGTGTTTTTTCAGGATTGGACTGAAATGTGTGTTCGTTCTCTTTCTCTCTCTCATATTCCAGTTGGTCGAATTGTCTTAGAATTGTTTGCAGATGTTGTGCCCAAAACTGCTGAAAATTTCCGTGCACTATGTACAGGAGAAAAAGGGATAGGGCCTACCACTGGAAAGCCTCTTCATTATAAAGGATGCCCTTTCCATAGAAGTAAGTTTGAATCATCTTTATTTTGTTGTTCTTTTTCCATTTTCTATTTAAGTTGCATAATATTAACAGTTGACTTCAAGTATTTTGAAACCAGTTTGATTTCAATATTGGGGTGGTAGGGATGTGTGTGGATTTCTAACTGTGATCAATACTTAAGTTATGGGCTGATCTGGCTTTCATGGAACTCAGGGAGAGTTTTTTTGGACTTTCAATATTTAAATCCTTTTGAGTTAGCAATTCAGAAAGGAAGAAAAGAAAACGCAGAGTCAAGCTACAGTAGAAATATATTAAGTGATTTAGCATAACATATGGCCTTTCATTAGATATTTTGGTTTAATACAAGAGTTTTCCGTTTAGAAAAGTAATGGATTAGAGAATAGTAGAAATGCATTATTTATCCCTCTTTATTTTATCTTTCGTCTACCTTGACCATGTTTTTGTAGAGAGTGCATCAATCGTTGGTAGTAGGCTTGCTCCAATGGCAGTAGTACAGCTGTGAGAGTCTTTCCACTGACTTCATTGGGCTTTGGGTAAGGTCCAGTATGAGCAAGGGATTTTCTTTGCTGCTGCTTACTAGTGTTTTTCTCCACAACAGCTGGTGGTGGAGGTTATTAGGAAGGACTGTCATTTGTGGACTGAATCCTGGTTTTGTGTGTACATGTTATGCTTTGCCAGAACATCCTGCAGTCTGTGCTGTAGGCTTCCTAATATGAAACTGCATTATAATAAATATAAAATCATTAGTTAATGTGAAAATAATTTTTTTATATCCCAGATTGCTCTGTTGTAATTGTGGACTTTTTTTCATATGTTGAGGAGATAGACTATTAAAGCTTTGAAAAATACATTTCTCTAAAACAATCATCATACTCCGGGACATAAGGTTTTTGAAATTATTAATACTTTTTAGTTTTTAACTGTCATCCAAAAATCTCAAAGTGCTTTATGAAAATGAGATAATAATTCTTTACTCATGTTACACATGGAGAAATTGGGGCTCAGGGAAGTCAAACAGTTCACCCAAAGTCACGTAATCAGTGACAATCTGGAATAGAAACTAGGCCTTCTGACACCCTGACCCCTGTTCATCACCTAAGTGAAAGCTATTTGACATTTGCAGATATAAATGAATCATTTAATGAAATATTTTACTGAGAGTGATAAATAGGTTAAATTGTTTTCCAATTGAGGTGTGAGAGTCAAGTGTTGTTCAAAAAGCTGAAAATGGATACATTCGACGGAATCTGATAACTAAGAAGTATTGTTCACTTTTGTTTGGGTATAACTGACTCACCTGACTGTTTTGCTGATCATGATTCGCTCTCTGCATTACCCTCAAGATTACACTTCTGTTGTCCGTCCTTCTCTTGCATAAAATAATTGTAAAAATACATAGGCTATAGATGCAAGTTATCAAACCATGCTATATGCTAAGGATATATGGCTTATTTCTGGTATTGCACAATTATGTGCCCAGTGAGAAATTTGATTGAGTGTTAGCCATTTTGCTTTTGCTATATTAAGCCACAAGAAGGCATGCATTTCTGGTTGCAACTATGGAAATGTTTAGGGGATTCAAATAATAAAGGAATTAAAGCTCATGTTGAAGAAGTGGGGTTGGTCTTCACCTTGAATGTAATCCTGCTTAATACTCTTCCTGCTTTGACACCATGTCTTATGACTCATTTTCTACTTAGTTATTAAGAAATTCATGATCCAGGGTGGAGACTTCTCAAATCAAAATGGCACAGGTGGAGAAAGTATATATGGAGAAAAATTCGAAGATGAAAACTTTCATTATAAGGTAAAGTAGTTAAAAATGCTAAATGGAATCAGTTTTTGAAATTAGGGTGGTTTGGTTCTTATTATTCCAGTGGAATTTTAGTACGCTTATTATGATCTATGATGATGTCGGTCTATGAGGAGGTGAAAAAAGTAGTAGCAGTTTTACCTGTAAAATATTTCAGTTTTAGGGAACAGATTATCACTCCTACAAAACAAGGGCAGCAGCACTTTAAATAAACTTTATAATTTTAAAACATGAACAGAATGACATCATTAAATTGTGCATTGTGTACCTTGGTTGAAGGAGAGGAAATATTCCCTGATAAAATTATTACATTGACTATCAGAGGAACTTTATTTCTGGAGCAAATTTCATATACAGTGTTTTAGAATTAAATAAATCCTATAGGTTTTGTCATCATATATTTGTGATTTAAAACAAGGGATTTCTCACACTTAATCTTGTAAATTCAGAAGGAGGAATCTGTGGCATCACATCTTTTTCCATTTTTTGGTAAATACTGGATTCATGTTGTCTTTGCAGAATCCAGCAGACGCAAAATTTGGGCAGGTTGGGAGAAAATATTTACTTCCATGCAAATATTTTCCATAACAGGAAAAGAAACATTAATAAAGGCCATCTTATATTCATGTTTTTGCACTCCTAAGTTTGTATTAGTTGGAAAGTCTTGCTGTAAACAAAATTTGTGGTGTGTCGGTGTGGATTCCATTATAGGTGCACATGCAGCTCATGCATGCAAGATGGGATTTTATTGTAAATAGAAATGTCCATGGGAGCCATGCTTGCACCCAGTGCCTTCTCGTGCTCCTGTGCGAGAACCAGGGCTTTGGAGCGGAGCACGGAGCAGCTCTGGAGCAGTGGAGCTGCAGATTTTTGCCTGGAGCAGGGTCGGAGCACAGCTCCAAGCCCTGGTGAGAACATAAAGGGTAGAGTGACCATGACCCTCACTCAACTCCTTTTTACTGCCTGTGACAAAGAGATGGAAGCCAGCAAGTGTCTATCCCACTACTCCTGAGCTTCAAACTTTTTGGTGAAGAAAAAGAGAAGAAAAGACCCATCTACGCCTCGCCATACAGCAGGGCTCAGCACTCTGAACCTACTGTTCTGGTGGATTCCAAATCATCCAGGTTTAAACTCTTCCTGGCCTGTGACAGACTTATCTTGCTGGTCAAAGGACATAGTCAATATCTGTTCTGTTTGAGGGGAAAGTCGCATTCCCAATAAGTATATGTCGTGCTAATTTTTCTCCTCAAGGACTTGCAACTTGAGGGATGTACAGCTGAAACTGCACCTACTCAAGCAATTGATATATACCACCGTGGAGCCTACCATAGTTCCAAAGAATGGAAAGGTTCATCTTCAGCAAGAGCTCCATTGAGTAGACACCACTCCACAGCATCAAGCAGCGACAGGAAAGAAAACATAGTCAAAAACTGTGCCAACCATATTGGCATTAGAGTCATCGACACAGGCACCAATAACTTTGTTGGCACTGGGGCTGGTTGACTCAGCACTGCCAAATAGAAGAGTTTCTCAATATGGGCAACCCAACACCAGCCTTTATACCAGAGATCCATGGTACTTACTGCACCTCAGATAAGCCAGTCTTTCACACAGCTCTTTTAAAATCCACCTTAGTGATTTCAACTTGTCGCCTGCTGATGCAATCATGCTCTGTCTTCTCTCACCCATGGTATCAGTTCCTTAAAGGGCTACTAGGCAATTCCCCACCAATCAGAGGATGTATTTGTGCCATTTGAGCATCTGTCAGTATTCTTCCCTATGTTACCTCACTCTGAAGATGATCTTCCTAGTCGCTATCACTTGAGCCAGAAAAGTGAGTGGTGCTTCAGGCTGAATCTCTCTATATAACATTCCATGGGGACAAGGTGGTACCAAAACCTCATCTGAAATTCATCCTTAAGGTAGTCTCAGAACTTCATCTGAATCAATTCTATCAAGCTGCTTGTCGTCTTCCTGAAACCACATTTGGCACCAGTTGAAAAGAAATTGCACATACTGGATATGTCCAGGACTTTGCTTTTTTCACTGACAGAACCAAAACACTCAGACATCCCTCTCCTGGTATGTTTCTGGTTAGAGCTATTCCAAAGGTCAAGCCATTTCATCACAGATATTAAAATGGAATACACAGTGCATTTCTTTGTATTACCAGTCAGCTGTTTTATCTCTCCCACCAAACATCCAAACTCACTCCATCAGAACTCAAGTGACATCTTCTGCCTATTTCAGAAGTGTACCAGTATCAGAGATTTACAAGGCAGCAGCATGGACCTTTGTCAAACAGTGTGCTTTGAACTTAGCTACTAGGTCAGTTGCCACATTTGGGAGGACAATCAATATTCTACTGAGGCAGCTGAAACTCCTCATTGCCACCATCCTGAAGGGATACTGCTTGCCAGCCACCTACTGTTGGATCCACACTGACACATACCTCAAGAAAAAAGAATTGGGTACTTACCCTACAGTAACTGTGGTTCTTTGAGGATGTTCTTTCGAGATCAGTGTGGATCCCATGACATGCTCTCCATTCCTGCTTTCCAGAGTCCTCATCTACCATGGGCTTCGAAGTGTGAGGGACTCGAGGGAGGGTTGCGGCTGTCCAACCCTTTTTACCCTCATACTGGAGCATGAGAATGCAAAAAAAATCAGTCTTGCATACATGAATTGCACATGCACCTACTTTGAGATCCAGAGTGACTACGACTTCTTGAAGAAGCATGGCTTCTGTAGGGTAAGCAAGCATTCCTATGTCGCAAGTCTATATTTCCAATATACATGAAAATTTTTGGCTGTCATTTAGAAAAAAGTATTAAAGAGAAAAAATCTGGATGGTGAAGCAAAATAATCCATGTGCTTACTTACAAGGAGGCAAAAGAATTGTAGGGGGAAAGTGTGTGATTATACAGCAATAAGTTTTAAAGTATAAGGCCTCAGTCCTGCAAACAGCATGGAAGTAACTCAGTTCATGTGAATAGGTGCATTAAGGTTAATGAGACTACTCATGTAAGATAAGTAATGCACAAGTGTTTGCTGGATAGGGTTTAAGAAAGTATTTAACAATTTCCTCTTAATTGCATTATTACTGAGTCAGTTACTGTATCTTGTTTTTTAAATGGGGCACAGAGAGCTGGTTTTAATGTCAGGAGATTGAATTAGGGAGCATCACATCAGGCACCCCTCAACTGATTTCTCCAGTTTTGGTGTTTAGATAACATGGAGCTGAATGATGCAGTTAAACAGCCAATGCAACATTTCTTGTTAACTGATTGGGTAGTGTCAAGTGCCAAATCACTAAGCTTGCTTGCAACCAACTATAGGAAATACAATAAAGACAACTGTCCTCTGATGTCAGAGAAGATGAAGCCAGTTGCAAATTATGTGTGGCCCTCAGGCCCCTTGCAGGTTATCAATGTGTGCTTCTTATTTGGGGTACACTGGCTTTCCTAGTAGTATATTGTAGTAACCTTGTAGAATAATCAGATCTTACTTATATTTGCTTTGATGGTGTTTTCTCATACAGCATGATCGGGCAGGGCTGCTGAGCATGGCAAATGCAGGACCCAATACAAATGGCTCTCAGTTCTTTATCACAACGGTGCCAACTCCTCACCTGGATGGGAAACATGTGGTGTTCGGCCAGGTGATCAAAGGGATGGGTGTTGCTAAAATATTAGAAAATGTTGAAGTGAATGGAGAAAAACCTGCACAGGTAAGATCAGGACATCTCGGAGGACACTTGTTCCATTATATGGTGCCTTCTGTGAGAATTGTTTTAGTATTCTGTGAGAATTAATTTTAGTTGTGTTTTTCAGTATGATTCAAAATTGGTTTGCTTTGTTAGATCAAAACTAGAAAAAGTACAGCTTTTACTGAGCTTTGTCTTGCAGGACATGTAACATTTTCAGATTAGCTTTTATCTTCCATTGTAAAAATGATTTCCAGGCTAAAAGTCACAAGGTTGGTAAAGCCTTTTACTAATCCTAAATAAAATATTTAGATCAAAGAAAGTATTAAAAACTGGAAAAGGGAGAAAGGTTACAGTATTTTATAGTTGTTAATTCTTAATACTCTACATGTGTAAAACTCTTACAAACATTAACTAGTAATCACTAATCAATTTTCACACCACCTTTGGAAATGAGGGAGGAAGATAATGTCTCTGCACCTTGGAGGTATGAGAAACTGAAACCTGTATAAATGAAGTTGTGACTTGCCAAAGGTTGCAGAAGGAGTTAGTGTTAGAGCTGAGTAGACATATGGAGTTCTTGGCTCCCATTCTGTGTTTAGGGGACCGGTGGGAGGGTGGGGGGGATAATGGTCTAACAGCATTGAGCAAACAGTATAATTAGTACATTTAACGCGGCTATGTTAGGGGACTATGCCTCTTCGTCAAACAAAATATGACCAATTATTTTTCATCATCTAAATCCCCTCCATAATATCTGAAAATTTTCCCTTGTTGTTGGAAAGGAAAGCATTTATTTTGCTACCAACCTAAAAATACACATACTTTTCTTTTCATGTATGGTAGCCTAGATGAGCAATGCAGTCATTCCTAGTGTAATGGCTTCTTGTGGTGTGATCCTGCTAGATTTTTACAAGCTAAGTGGTCTTAGGCTTAGTTGGTGCTTCCAAGAAACATAGAGCAGCAGCAGGAAGCGGTAGTGTGTGTGTGTCACCCTTTCACATATGACCTTGTCTTCTTCACTGCTATAATAGGTGGGTTTTTTTTACCTCGGTAACTAACATGCATGAGCTATCCTGAGGTAAAAACACAGTGAAAACTAGGCACTTTAGTTTTACTCTGGGATAAATAGCCTTATGCTTCTTCCAGTGGTTGAACTTGATGAGTTTACCTTGCAGTAAAACTGAAAATGAAGCGGATGAGTTTCATAAGGATAGTTAGGAGCAGCTGAAGTAGGCCTCTGAAATCTGTAGTTTGGGAGTGACAGGAGAATACTTTCACTGATCTTTTGGAAATACACAAGAACTAAAGCTTTCCAATTAGTGAATGGCAACATTGTATATTGTACGCCTCCTGTTTTTTACAGTTGTGCATTATTGCAGAATGTGGAGAGCTGAAGGAAGGCGATAACTGGGGAATTTCCCCAATGGATGGCTCTGGAGATACTCACCCAGATTTCCCTGAAGATTCAGATGTAGATTTAAAACATGTAAGTGTTTTTTTCTTTGAAGACAATTATTTTTCCTGCGCAATGACATTTACATAACCTCAGATATATGGTGATTGTTGTCAGGTTCACCAGATTTCAGTTTATTTTTAAGAAGTCTGTTAGGGCAAGTTAGATGTAATGATGGGGAATTTTGTGATACTTTTTTAGCTGCTCTTTTTAATGCTAACTATGATTTATTTTTTCCAGTGCACATAATGCTAAAAACAAAACCTTCCACTTAGATGTTTTTTTCTATTCTTCCTTTATTTCTGTTACTCAGTTCTTCATTGTGGTGCTGTAGTGACAAGTTTCCAGAGGCATAATTTATATAGGATTTCATAGTATTAATAGCATACTCTGGAAATTATTTAACGGTTTATTTAGTTGCTTTCCATAGTTAGAAAATCATCTCATTACCACACTTTTCATCCACAAAGCAATTTCTAGGCATGCCCTGTGTAGACAGACAACACTGCCACTGTATTTGGCAGGATAGGCAGTTATCTGCCACATGTATAGTTTTATTGGGTCAGTGCAGCAGTAGACTGAATGGAAATACTTTTTTGAAACTGAACTTTTAGAAGTCTAGATTTTGCTGGGAAATTGGAGTAGGCTGTTGCATGTCTGTGGATGTGGTAAAGACAGTACTAATTGCAGTTTGTTAAATTACTGATAGAGACATTTGTTGACACTTGAAAGCCTTGTACCTTCTAAGTTGAAGCAGGAGTGATGGATTTAGAACAGACAGGCAGTTAACTATCAGCTTTACTTTATGGATCTAGAAGTGGTTTGAGGGAAGGACAGAAGTGTGTTAGTAGTTGATTGTTGGTTGGAGGGCCTATGCAGATCAAGTATCTGTGCCTTGAACTGTGGGAAACAAAAGACAAAATACTTTTGGGAATGAGAAGTTCTTGGTTATATACCTGCATCACTAATAAATCTCTCATTTTTTTTATGGATACAGCCAAAGCTTCTGTTTACCTGATCCTGGATTAAGGAGGAATGAATGTTCATTCATGTAACTGCATTTAGGGGCAAACAATTAAATTAGTGATTGCTTGTTCTCTATTACTCTTAGGTTTTGTTCTCTTAAGGTCTGTCCCCCTGATCCTAGAGGATAGGTCCACTAATGGCTATTAGACAAGATGATCAGGGATGCAATCCCATGCCCTGGGTGTCCCTAAACCCTAACTGCTAGAAGCTGGGACTGGACAACAGGGGATTGATTGCTCAATAATTGCCCTGTTCTGTTCATTGCCTCTGAAGCATCTGGGGCTGGCCACTGTCAGACGATAGACCAATGGTTCATCCAGCTCCATATCCTGACCCAGCATGGCCATTCTCATGTTCTTTCCCTCATGTACAACTCAATGGGAGTTTCATACCATTGATCAAGGAGAATGTGTTGCCCACATAATAGAGTATTGTAGCAGTTTGAATATAGTTTTCTTTCAAAACTTGGAATATTTGTGTGTTTTGGGTGCATTTTGGCAGTCTTTGAAAGAGAGTAGACTTGGGATCCTACTGTTAAATATTAAGTTGTCCAAAGACTTGTTGCAGCTTGGTATAAATTACATAATTTAATACTTATATTTTATAGGATTTTTTTCTCATCTTCTCAATAGGTTGACAAGATTGTGTCTATAGCAGAAGACATAAAGAATATAGGAAATACTTTCTTCAAATCACAGAACTGGGCAATGGCAACTAAAAAGTACATTAAGGGCTTAAGGTAAGGGTTACTGCTATTGTAAGTCAAACAGTTGCTTTTAATCCATGCTAACATTTCCATGAAATGTTAGCACATGGTAATTTTTAAAATAAACTTGTTTTCCCCCGCCCCCCATTTGTATTTGAAAATGAATGTGTGATTTTTAGTTGCTCATTTAAAAATGAGTACATGCTGCACAAATGGGTCATCCATGCACACCTTGGACGTGTTTTGAAACACCAAGAGCAAGGTCAGAAAGAATTGCTTTATGTATTAACTGCTTATTAATTCCAGTCCTGCACTCATTTTCACTTGGAAACACAAGGTTTTATTAGATACTTTTTTGCCTTTTAAAAATGTAAAATTTCATTTGGTTAGAAATCAGAAAAACTTTCAGTAAGAAACTTAGGGGACTGAATGGTTCAGGACATGTGACACCTTCCACCTCTAGGTCACTGGTATGAATTTTGTACAGATTTATAGTGACCAATAACCATTCTTGCTTGCTGTTCCAACAGTTATTCCCCCTCCCCCAGAGTCTCTGCAGTGTTTGCCAATGTCTCTCTACAACTTCGAATTTGGCCCTCACCTTCAAGACCCTGAACAGCTCTCTGCACTTGATTGCGTAGTCTCTATACTCCTTCTCATGCCTGTTGCTCTACTTACTTGGCATGCTCCTGCCTGTCTCTCTCAAGCAACTCTTCACCTTTTCTTTAATGCCATCCAAAGTTGTTTGGAATGTTGTCCTTGATCCTTGTGCCCAGGCAACCTTAGTCTCTTTCAAATCTTTCTGCTAGAGTGGCTTTCGGATGTCATTCCTACATTGATCTCTTCATCTGCATTCTTACTGATCATTGCTCACCAAACTTTGAATATAGTAACTTAAAATGCCACTGTCAAGTTAAATTAGTCTGACTTTTAACTTATTAAAGAGCTAAATTAGTATAAGTAAAAGAGATAAGGATGAAAATCAAGTTTTTTTTGGTGTGCATTTGATATTACTGCATATAGTCAGGTTTCACAGTGGTAGCTGTGTTAGTCTGTATCAGCAAAAACAACGAGGAGTCCTTGTGGCACCTTAGAGACTAACAAATTTATTTGGGTATAAGCTTTCGTGGGCTAAACCCCACTTCATCAGATGCATGGAGTGGAAAATATACTAGGCAGGTATAAAAACACAGCACATTATACCTGCCTAGTGTATTTTCCATTCCATGCATCTGATGAAGTGGGTTTTAGCCCACGAAAGCTTATGCGCAAATAAATTTGTTAGTCTCTAAGGTGCCACAAGGACTCCTAGTTGTTTTTGCACATAGTCAGTTTCACTACAGTCTCATTTTCTCCCTTTCTGTACTGGTCTTTGACACAACAGGGAAGATATTTTTTAAAAATAAGACATGATTGTAAAACTAAAAACACTGGCAGAGGCACTCAGCGGCATGTGTAGTGCTGAAAATTACTTAACTCACCTTTTGAAATTGACTCGATATCAAGCAGTTGATGGTTTTTCTAGAATTAAAAAAATCCTAGCACTAAAAACAGCATTTAGAATCTAAAATGATAAGCTTGGATACAAAACAAAAACCTTCAGTCTTTTACTGTTCTCTTCATCCTTCCCTGCCCTCTCCTCCCTGCCTTTATTTCTTAACTTGTCTGTTATGTCTAATAGCTGAAAACTAGTTGGAGCTGGAACCCACTAATTTGTATTTGAAATACCATGCACACCAAATAGTAGGTGTCTGTGGTAACTGTGTCACAGTTTCAAGGCTAAATGCACCTTTGACTCCTTCCCCCTCCAATCCTCTACCCCTCAGGTGTGGCTGGCCCGCTGTCTCCATCTGCATGATCAGATACACCAAACCTGAGTGGCATTGTCACCCCTTATGCTATGTTGCAAAGCCCAAAGCAGGGAACCAGTCCCGATCCCACAGGACAGGTGGGCTTGCTTTCCAGCCCTGCCCCCCCAACAGAGCTCCCCGCTACCCTCTTTCTGTGACTTACCTATTTTTACCTGCATCCCTGCCATGAAACTTATGAAAAATGTCCATGACATAATCATAACCCTAGACATCAGTAAAATTGGTACATTTTAAATCGACAGGATAGGTCACTTGAGCTAATGGAGTCAGTGATAGCAGCCATAGGCTGTCATTCTGTGAACCAGCCACTGGGGGAGGATGAGATGCATTTTGCCAGAGGTTTTCACAGATATTTGCTGACAATAGAGGAATGTTGAGGCTCAGGAATCTTGGGTTCCATTCCAGGTTCCTGAGAGGGGTGTGTTTTAGTGGGCAGACCCTGCTGCCCATTCCCTCCAGCCAGTCTGTGTCCCAGTCCCATCTCCTCCCTCAGCTTCTCATCCGAGTACCATCTCTTCTCTCCCAACCCATTTCTTTGCCCTAGTCCCAGTCTTCTCTCCTAACCACTCCCAGTCCACATCCCCCAGGCTCCCTCTCAAGGCTCCTCACCTCAGTTTCCTCCCATCCTTCTGACTCCTCATCCTAGTCTTCCCACCCTGACTCAGGCTTCTTGCCCTCCCAGTCTCCCTGTTCATGTGATCTTCATCAGTCTGTCTTCCACCTGTCCCGCTCTCCCTGCTTAGGCATGTCATCCAAGTCTCCCCATACATCCTTCTTACCCAGCCAGATCCAGTCTTTTCCCTACCCCCAGATCTTTTCCTTCTTGCATTCCTCTGCCCTGAGTTAGGTTGCATACTTCATCTCTATGCCTGGTCAACCACAGAAGGAGCCTGGAGAGACTGTCTCTCTGTTCACAGTTCTAGTGCCTGTTGCCACAGCGGCCCATAGCAGCCAGGAGCAGCAATCACGAAAGGAAGGTCCAATTCAGCTGGTGCCCTGGATTGAAGCATGCTTAGTACAGATACAATTTTCAGAGAATGTAGCTGTAAAAATTCTTATTTAAAATCTCTACTGACCATATATGAATTGAGATTTTCAGAGTTTCATAGCTTGGCCACATTTGAATGAATTTTCATGCAAAGGCAAAAAGCATGGCCTTGACACCTGGGAGATTTATTTCCCTCTTTCCCCAAGCCAAAATTCAAGTCTGCTCTAAAGCATTAGAGGTGCTAGAGCTATTCAGCAAAACAGTTGCAAGAATTTTGACATGGACAAAACTGTACTTTAATCTCCTTTTCAGAAATAGTTGAACCTTCTCTGCAGAAACTACAAAAAAATTCAGCCTGAGGCAGACACCTGGCATGGAAAATTTCAGTCCAATTGAAGTTTACAAAGTATAAACAGTGGAAAACTGCTCTTATTCTGAGAACTATTGGGCAATCGGAACTATACATGGTGCTACCAACTCCATCTATCTTCACTTCCTGTCCTGAAACATGTGTGTGTTTTCGCTGGAAAATGGCGATTAGTTGAAATTAACATGTTCCATAGGAATGTTTTCGTTTCACTGACACTTTAAAACAGAACCCAGTCAGGTTTCCTGTGAAAAACCTGTCATGTTTTCTGCCCGCTTTCCTGCCCACCTCTCTTGCACCTTGGCACCCACCAAGGCTGCTCTTTGGTAGCAGTCCTGCGGAGCTACTGGAGCTGGGATTTGCAGGCTCCAGCGCTCCCCACCCTGTAGGCTGCTTGTAAGCCCGGTCTTCCAGGCTCCCTAGTAATTTCACCATTCCTCTTGCTGTCAGCAACATTTTTTTGTACTTTGAATGTTTTCAAAAATTCAGAATTTTTTATACGAGGGAAAGTCTTTATTGCGGTCAGCTATAGTTCCAGATGCAAAATTGGATTAATTAGTACTACAAAGATGTACATGAATATACAGTCATTTTGTTTACTAATTTTGGTATTAATTGGTTACTTCCTTGATATCTTTACATGTGTAGGCATTTAGGAAGTTGTTCATAAATAAGAACTGCAGGATTGGCTGTTGAATAGTGTCAGTTTTGTCTGAAAACTTTACATGGATTAGGGTTCTTCTGTCATACCACCTGTTTCCTCGTGTAGTGCTGCAGAAACCAAGATGAGGCATTCTAATTAAATGTTCTGAGATTTGAATATTGTCAGGGGCTTAACTGTTGGCATAGGAACATAGCTTCCATACTGGATCAGACCGTGGTATGTCTTGCCCAGTATCTTGTCTGTGACAGTGACCCCTACCAGAGCTTTGGTGGGAGTATACAGAACAGGGCAATTATGGAGCGATCTACCCCTGACGTCCATTCACAGCTTCTTGGTAGTCAGAGATTTTGGGTTGTCCCGAGCATAGAGTTGTGTCCCTGATCATTTTGGCTAATAGCCATCAATGGACTTATCCTCCATGAACGTATCCAATTCTTATTTTAATCCAGTTATGCTTTTGGGCATCACAACATCCCATGATAATGAGTTCCATGATTTAATTGTGCGTTGTGTGAAATGTACTTCTGTGTTTGTATTAAAACTGTTGCCTACTAATTTCATTGGGTGACCCAGTTTTTGTATTGTAAGAAGGGGTAAATAACACTTCCTTATTCATACTTTCCATGATTTTATAGACTTCTCTCTTATCTCCTTTAGTTGTCTCTCTTGTAAGGTGAACAGTCCTAATCTTTTTTTGGTCTCTGCATACCCTTGATCATCTTTGTTGCCCTTCCCTGAACCTTGTCAATTCCACTATATTTTTTGCTTTGACATGGGATGACCAGGACTGGACACAGCATTCATGGTGTGGGTGCACCATGGATTTATATGGTGGCATTGTGATATTTTCTGTCTTATTTTCTATCCTTTTCCTAATAGTTCTTAATATACACTGTTAGCCTTTTTGACTCTGGCTGTGTATTGAGTGGAAGTTTTCAGAGAACTATCCACAGTGACTCCAAGATCTCTTTCTTGGGTGGTAACAGCTAATTTAGAACCCATTGTATATGAATAGTTGAGATTATTTTTTTCAATGTGTATTACTTTGCATTTATCAGAGTTGAATTTCATCTGCCATTTTGTTTCCCAGTCACCCAGTTTTATGAGATCTCTCTAGCTCCTTGCAGTCTACTTTGGACTTAACTATCTTGAATAATTTTGTATCATCCTTACACTTTTGCCACTTCATTGTTCACCCCTCTTTTCTAGATCATTAATGAATATGTTGAACAGAACAGGTCCCAGTACAGATCCTTTGGGGAGCCCCACTGTTCACCTCTCCATTGTGAAAACTGACCACTTATTCCCTCTCTTTCAACCAGTTACTGATCCATGAGAACATGTCCCTCTTATCCCATGGCTTCTTAATTTCCTTAAGAGCCTTTGGTGAGGGACATCGTCAAATGCTTTCTGAAAAGCAAGTACACTATTGACTGGATCAACCTTATCCATGTTTGTTGACTCCCTCCCAAGAATTCTAATAGATTGAGGCATGATTTCCCTTTACAAAAGCCATGTTGGCTCTTTCCTAACAAACTATGTTTATGTGTGTCTGATAATTCTGTTCTTTACTATCATTTCTTTTATCTCCTACTGAATTTAGGCTCATCAACCTGTAATTACCAGGATTGCCTCTGGAGCCCTTTTTAAAAAGTGGTGTTACATGAGCTACTACCTTCCAGTCATCTGGTACAGAGGCTGATTTCAAGATAGGTGACATAGTATAGTTAGTAGTTCTGCACATTCATGTTTGAGTTCCTTTAGAACTCTTCAGGGAATACTGTCTCTTCCAGGTGACTTATTCCTGTTAATCAATTTGTTCTAAAACCTCTTTTATTGACATCAATTTCGGGCAGAGCATTCAACTGCAGAATTAATTTCCTTCCCCCTGTCCAGCATGCTGTTTTTTTTAGTGTTTTATATAGTATCCATTGTTGCAGTATTCAAACATTTCATAACTAAATGGGATCTCCTTAGCTAAGTCCCTAATGAATTTCAGTGATCTCTGCTGTCTTCTCTTCTTTGCTTACAGGAAGCTCTGACTGAATTGGGCATACGTGAAATCTTTTTTTTTTAAAGTCAATCTTGTGCTGATGGAAACACTGTTCCAAAGAGGAAGGTCTTAGAATGTGCATCTTAGAAACAGATGAATTGTGGAGTAATCAGATTTCTTCTGTATGATCGTTTTGTTGCCAGGCTGACTTCCTTACCTCATCTGATTATGCTTCCACCTTGCCTTTGTCAGCTGCATTATCCCAGAAGATCTCAACTATCTTTGTGGTTCATGCATAGAGATGAAGTCACTGATGTAGTTGAGTCCTGACCCATGTTGACTTTGAAGTTCAGAAACAGAGCCTTGAACTGGCTATGACAAGTGTTGCAACTGCATGCAGTATCTTTGGGGAAACATATTGTATTAGGCTCATGTATAACTGTGGGCCAGGGTTTGTATGTATGATTGTGTTTTACTCCAAGAAGGAGGTTACCACAGCTCTTCAGGAACTAAAACAGTGGGGGTCATTAAAGAGAATCACTCAAGTTGTAATCACCTCCAGAGAGGTACTACATCCTTTGAACGTTTGCATATTTTGATTCAAGTTGGGTTTCCAGAGTCTTGGAAGACAGGGCTTTTGGCATACAAAGGCTGTGTTTAACCTATTGCATGGCCTTCTTTCTGATCCAGAAAAGGGACAGGATCATCTGTCCAAGGGAGGCCCCACAACCCTTGCAGAAGGGTTGGAAAGACAATGACTCACTAAGGCCCCATAAGACTGAGGGGTGACCTCGGGTAAGGTTTTAGCATGCACATAAGCATTTTCACTGTCGTCTCTGTAATGCGTTTACCTTAAGAATAAATGTGCTTGCTTCCAAAGAGCCATGTGGTAACTTGTAACTGCTGGCAAATACAATGTGCAGAGCTATTGGAGAGAAAACAATGGCCTTTAGGTAGTCTGGCTTGTTTACCCTGTACTGTGATATCCCAGGGAGCTGTGCAGCTTTAAAACCCCAGTCAGAAGGCAGTGAAACAAGGGTTCCTGCCCAGGGACTGGTGCTGGCTGGAGACTTGACTAGGAATTCCTGGAGTGGACCATGGAGCCGGGTGGGGGAGATGTAGGTGAAGTTTCTTCAAACTATGACACTAGCATCACAAGAAAATGGGAGTTATACCCCTCCTCTTTTCTCTCCACTAATTTTCCTACGGCAGTCTTGTTTGTTGGAGGTAAATGACTGCATTTTGCAAACTCTGCAGCTTATATTGTTTACGTGTGCAGTCCCAAATACAAGAAGTTAAAATAATTCAGGTAGTGTAGCCAAATACTTGGAGAGGAGGAAGGGGCAATGTTGTGTAAAAGATGGTTATTTAAAATTGAGTGCTTTTTATTTTTAACAGCCAATTATAGGAAGCATGATAAGTTCAGTTTAATTCCTTTATATAACAATATAATGGGCATGGATGTTTAGAAATAGTAACCTAAGGTAGATAGGAGTACATGTGACTGGTAGTTCTTGCATACACTTTCAGCAAGATAGCAAAGGGCAGAAAAAAGTTAATGGTGCAAGTTACAGTATATACACTAATACATAGAATATGTAAACTTGTTTTGTGCAGGTATGTGGAGGCTTCTAAAGCCATAGTGGAGGAGTCAGATACAGCAAAGTTGAATCCTGCTGCCTTGACCTGCTTTTTAAATATTGCTGCTTGTAAACTGAAGGTGTCAGACTGGCAGGGAGCTATTGAAAGTTGTTGTGAGGTAAGCTAAATTTCATCTTTTGATTAGCAGAAAGTGATTTGGAAAATGAAGATAACACTAAAAGCCTTCTTTCAAAATCAGGTTTGGAAAGGCTCATTTTCCTATAATAAATTAAAGGAAGATAGGCAAGTCTTTAGTGCAAACCAATTTTAATATACAAATTAACTCATTTGTGGCAGGCTGTTTACTTGTTCAGAAAAAATATTAGTGGAGTCACATCAATATTTCAGAATACAAGTTACTATTTATTGGAACTAAATGCAAGCTGTGCATTTCCTGGGAGCACTATTAATTTGTATAGAACAATAGATTACATTATCTTTCAGAAACAAGGAATCTTTTTATAGCTGTGTAGCATTCAGTAAGTTTTATCCTCACTCTTTGAATCAGATTTCTAGTTTTATTTTACAGGTTAATTGTAATGAATGGATAACTTTGGCTAAATGGTAAAGAAAAGGCAGCAATAAGAAATGAAAAAGCAATATAGCAAATTGATGTAAATTGGAAACAAAGTACAGAACATTAGTAGAGAAAACTGAGGAATTCAAGGGTTAAGGACAAATAGGAGTTAAGTTTGAGGAACAAAAGAACACCTAGCAACAGTTATAAGCCCATAACTACACCTCTACCCCGATATAACACAAATTCAAATATAATGCGGTAAAGCAGCGCTCTGGGGGTGCGGGGCTGTGCACTCTGGTGGATCAAAGCAAGTTTGATATAACACGGTTTCACCTCTAACGCGGTAAGATTTTTTTTGGCTCCCGAGGACAGCGTTATGTCGAGGTAGAGGTGTATTTGGAGCTCATAAATTAATAATGATGAAAAAAGGCAGAAGTGTTCAGTAACTGTTACAAATTTGGAGAAAAAAGCATAATGATGTACTCCTCATATAAAGATGAAGTATTTTCCAGACCATTAATAATTGAGGGCGTTAGACAACTTTTAGTAGGTTATTTTTATTAGTTGGTCCAATAAGATATTACCTCCCCCACCTTTTCTCTAACATTATTGCAGATAAACACTTTGAAATCAGCAGACCCAGATAACTTGCACTCAAGTGCTGAAAGAGTCAGCTGAGGCAATCTCTGGTCAGCTGATCACTTTTGATAAATCTTGGATTGCCAGGGAAATTCCAGAAGATTGGAAGAATGCCAATATTTAAAGGAAAACACGATGAGCCTGGCTCATAGGTAAGCCAGCTTGCCTGACATCAGTCCTGCACAAAAGAATGGAAAAGCTGATAAAGGATTCAACTGATAATGAATTAAAGGATAAGAGTAGAATTAATGCCAGTCAGTATGGTTTTCTTGTCAAACAAATCTGATTTCATGTTTTGAGATTACAAATTTGGTTGATAAATTTAACTACATAAATGTAATAAACTTTTGTAAGGCACTTGACTTAATACCCCATGACATTCTGATTAAAAAAAATAGCAATTTAAAAATCAGAGCAAACATTAAAAGGACTAAACTGTCTAGCTGACATCTCAAAGTAGCTGTCAATAGGGAATCATCATCAAATGAGGGAGTTTCTAGTGGGATTCCATATGGCGTGGTGACAAGCCTGGTGCTAGTCAATATTTCCATCAATGATCTGGAAGTTAATGTAAAATTGTTGCTGATTACAATTGCAGATGACACAGATTGGCAAAATGGTAAGTGATGAGGACAGGGTAGTCCTACAGAGCAATTTGGATTGCTTGTAAACTGTCCCCATTCAAAATTTAATATAGCCAAATGCAAAACTATGCATCAAGAAACAAAGAATGAGGGGCTGTATCCTGGAAAGAGACTCTGGAACAGGTTTTCGGTGTTACAGGGAACAAATAATGCAGCAATGAACTCCCAGTATGATGCAGTGGCAAAAAGAACTAATGCAATCCTTTGACGTATAAACGGGAGCAGTAGGAGTAAAGAGATGGTTTTACTTCTGTATGTAGCATTGGTGAGACTGATACTGGAATATTTCACTCACTCGTGCAGTCCACATTTTTAAAAGGCATTGAAAAATTGGAGGGGGTGCAGAAAAGAGACATTAGAATGATTTGAGGATGAGAGTTTATCAAAATGATTGAGAGGTGATTTGATTAATGTACAAGTAGCTTCAGGGAGAGAAAATAGTGAGTACTCTAATCTAGCCAAGAAAGGCTGAAAGATTAAACCAGACAAATACAAATGAGAAATAAGGTCCAAATTTTTAATACAAGATGATTAATCATTGGAACAAACTACCAAGGGAATTGGTGGATTCTCCATCCCTTGATGTCTTAAAAATAAAGACTGTATACCTTTCTGGAAGATACGGTTTAGCCAATCAAGTTATTAAACTCACTGCAGGGGTAACTGGGTGGAATTTAATGGCTTGAGTTATTCAGGAGATCAGACTGGATGATTTAATGGTCCTTTTTGTCCTTAAATATTCAATGAATCCATTATTTAAGTGGTTAGAAAATTTGCAGTTATCATACAAATCTATCCTTAATACCACCATCCCTGAATTTTTTGGGGTAGGAGGAGCTGCACCTGCTTTTGGGCTCACTCTGTAGACAGGATATCAGCACTATTAATACACAATACAACAATGTGCTAGATAAACCCTTATGGTTATACTGCACTCTATTGATTAGATTGATGGTGCTTTCATTTATAAAATTTGATGTGTTTATAGGCAGTTTACCCTTAAGATAGATGGGTTGCCTAATTGTGTGTGTTTCAGTGCTCTTCATGTTAGCTGAAGGCTTTAGAGTACACTGATTAATACTAAATCACTTTTATTCATTTTGCAGGCACTTGCACTAGATCCAGCAAACACCAAAGCACTTTACAGGCGGGCTCAAGGCTGGCAGGGAATAAGAGATTTTGATCAGGCACTGGTAACTATTATTTTTGTGGCTGTTGTTTTTTAAAGGATCAATAAAGCATCTATTTATTTTTTTGTATTTTTTATTGAAGGCTGATCTTAAGAAGGCTCAAGAGATAACACCTGAAGATAAAGGTAAATGTGAGGTAGCAATGTGGCATCTATTCTCTGTAAGAGTCTTTTACATAGTTTTACGTTAGTTCTGCAAGAGATGAACTAACAGTGGACCGATAAGAGTGAGGATTTTTCCTTTTGTGAGGTCTTTCTAAAAATTGACAAGTTTCAGATTTTCAGAATCCCCCCCTCTTCCTGTATGTGCACCTGCAGGGCATAGAATACAGAGGAATTCTGCTGCTGATAACTTTTCTCCACACACAAAAAGTGACAGCTTTCTGCCTTATCACTGTTTTTTATAGAGGGAGAGGCATTCATCTCCTTTGCTCAGACAGTTCTGCTTCGGCAAGAACTAAGTGGGGTTTGCGCATTCTTTATCCCTAAAAAAATCTGAAGTTGCTTTCTGGGCTGTTTCCATTTTCTGCTGCTTAACTGAATGTTACTCTTTGGATCAGGAATTCTGTGTCATTACTGTTTCCTGCTTCCATTCCTGTGAGCTTATTTATCCTATTCTGCAACTGTATGGAAAAAACAGTTTGGGAAGATTTATTTCATTATTACGCAGCTTGATAACTACTCCCTGACTAGAATGCAGGCAGACACAGTTTAGTCTATGTAAAGCATAAAATAGAGATGGATACTTGATATAGTGCTGTGGGACAACTATAGGAGAGGGAAAGCCATGTATTATGCTTTTGTTTTTTTTAAACAGCTATCCAAACTGAAGCACTCAAGGTGAAACAGAAGATAAAGGCCCAAAAAGAAAAGGAAAAAGCAGCTTATGCTAAAATGTTTGCTTGAGTGAAGGTTTTTCCTATTAAAGTTTAAGCACTGAATGACTAACTTGTACAATAGGAGTGTTTACAGAGGTGGTAGAGGCAAGTGTTACTTCTGTTATCTGCCCCATACTGCAATCAGTTGATTGTGTCCACTGTTTACTATTTAAATTGGGGTTTCATAATAAAGGTAGAAGTTAAAATGTTGGTGTTCAAGTGTTTTTATAGCTAAAGTGACTCTCAGAAAACAAAGACACATACTTAACCATATTAGTGGTGATAATGCTTGTCCTTTTGCAGGGTAGATATTCTTAAAAGTTTACCAGAGCAATTTCAGTTTTAACACCCAGGAAGCAAGTTGAAGTACAGTATTCTCCCATTAATTCCTTCACTAGAGCAGTAAGTCAGACTTTCCCAAGGTAGCATGTATGCATCAACACAGTAGTGCTGTCTAAAATAAACAGTTTGTAAACAGTATTCATGAACTCAACTGTTCACACAAAACTAAGTTTTATGGCAAACTAGCTTTATTAAAAGTTTCTTCCCTTGAAACAACAGGGAGCTTGTTAAATATTTGCTTTAATATGTAACCTTTGAAAGCAGTGATACAGTATTCCCTCACTTGACTTGTTTTCCCTAATGCAAGTAGAAATTAACCAAGATTGCATTGATAGAACATGTTAGGAAGGAGCAGAAAATGTGAATTCACCATAAATTATAGGACTTCACTATTTTTTACACCTATGGTTCAGGGTGTTTCCACTGAACTTTGGCAAGAGATAGATCTAGCATCAAGTTGTAAGTCACAGAAAACAGCACTTTGGGGATGTGGTACCACTGTCTTTGATCCAGTAAAAAGGCATATTCTTTCATAACTAAGGCTAGGGTCTGTCTGACTGCATTGACTTTGCATTCACTATTTAACATAGTGGTTAATGAAATTTCTTACCACATAGTGGTATGAAATTTAGCTGGCTCAGTAACCTCACTCAATTAACATTCAGTCAGTGATCAGCTTGGTTACAACATGTCAGGGAAGTACACTGGATAGTTTTGATCAAATTCACATTCCATTATAAGCTGGCCCCCCTCCCCCTTCAGGTACTACCCAGTTAATATTCTGGCTTGGGTCTTTAATATCACATGTTTTGCAGTGGACACAATTCTGAGCATTTATCTGCAGCCGTAAACCTTCTCCTGTTTCCAGGGGAACATATTCATAAACACCTGCAAAGATGAGAATATGTCACTATAGTGGATAGGTGAGAAGTATACAACTGAGTGCTAAGACCTAGATTTAAAGGATCCTATTACAAACTCTTGCACTCTTCAGTAGCCATTATCTTACAAATGCTGTGACTACCATTTGGGAACTTCATTATGCAGGTCAGTTGTCCCTTATACACTCCTAATGACAACTGCTTTATCAAGAAATGTATTTTTCCCCAAAAAAGTAGTTCGGAAAGGACCTTGGGTCCTGTGTACCCCAGAAGGCCTCCCCCCAACCCTTCCCCTAGGCAGCAGCGCCAAGGGAGTGTCCACAGCGCATATGCAGGGAAGGGAAAGGCTCCAGCTGCAGCTTCTGCACTGTTGATGCTGCCCATAGAAAGTGGCAGCAGCACAGAGGAAGGGGGCCAGTGAATACACAGAAAGCAGCCCAGCCAAGGGGAGTGCATAGCTAGCTGGGGAGGGAAGCCAAGCAGGATGCTGGAGAGGCGTAAGCAGGGATATGGGTGGGTCCCTAAGACAGACAAAATGCAGCTGGTAGTTCTCTTAATAAAAGGTTTGGGAACCACTGCCTTAAGGAACTAAAAGGCCTACTAGCCAGGTTATTTCCTCTACTGAAACATTTCAGTAAAAATATATAAGTACCTTTGCTTTCACTTTGCAAAGCTGTTAGTTTATTCAACCATTATTCATTTTAATTACCTACCTGCAGGACAGAATCTCTGTTCTGGCCCATCGTATATAGCTAAATTTTTGTTCACAGGGACACTGTCGTCCTTCAGAGTCAAATGAGGAGGCTGGTCATGTTCATGATTTGTCCCACTTAGCGCCACAGAGGACAGGAGATCAAAACTGATTTTTCCATCAGGCTTTGGATATTCAATAGGAGTGCAATCTTTGGCTGGCTTTAGCTGATCAGAGTCTGGCCCTAAAGTAATTTTGAATGAAACAATATTAAGTTTTCTAGTGTGCAAATATTTAGTTGAAATTAATTTGGAGTTATCCAAATGAAATACTATAATTTATAATAAGGCAACTGGAGATAAGACTCCCATTATCTTTGCAAAATGTTCTGTAGAATTCTTAGTCACAAATGGTCATGTTAGCTGTGTCTCAACAAAGATTATCTCCAGTAGTGTAGTGCCCCCAATCCCTCCATTGAACTACACCAGGTCACTGATTCCATAGACACAGAAAACCACCATCTACAGACACTTACTTTCAACGTCCTCCCTTTTAACATCTGACTTGACTACTGACCCAATCCAACCTTGCTTAATGCAAAACCATAAGAGACCATGTACATTTTGTATTTTCTGAAATAAAATTACCTGGATGTTTTAATGTCCATGGTTCCATTCCTCTCAGTATCCAATAAAATATACCAGTGTAAATCATTCCTCCATAGACACCCAGTACTCCATGGCAGGATGGTCGGATATTCCTAACAGAATAGAGCTCTTTCCACACCCAGGATTTCTTCAAGTTTTCTTCATATTCAGGCACATCAAGTCCTAGTTGTAAACATATATTATTTGTTAAATGTTTATAATATAGCATGATTTCAGGGAAGATTAGGTCCTTGAAATAAGAACTTGTTGCAAGTTGAGAAGTGTTTATTAGCAATGGGTTAAATCATTTGCAAAGCATAAAGATCAGTTTTTTGAAAACTAGATTTAGATCCATTTATAATATAATGAACCTAAATTACTACATTTTATATTGCCATTGAAGAAAATGAGAGCTTGCAACTATAGCCAACTGTACACTTACACTCCTAAAATGAGGATTATTTTCTGAAATACAATTCTAACTTTCTCAGACACTTTTTCTAGGATATTTGTATGTAAGATCATCAAAACAGGTATCCTTAAATTCAATTTTTAAATATTTTTAAAACAAAGCAAGTGGTGCTTCAGGCTCTTGTGTTCAGGAACGGGACCCCTTAAGTCCTTATATAATACCCTTTCAAAAACTTCTCTTTCTGGGTGATGGGAGAAAAGGGACTTTGGAATGGGAAGTGAGAATACACAAGACTACAGTGCTTCAGGATGTTTGGATGGCAGATTTCTAGAGAGGCCTGTGATTTACAGGAGGTCAGACTAAATGTTCTAAATGTTCTTTCCGGCTTTCAGCACAAGTCTATGAATACTCTGAGAAATGTTAAACTTCCAAACAGAGGCAGTTTATCAAAATAATGTTGCCTTTGAAAATGCAAAATGACTGAACAGATGACAACGAGGACACAATTAGGGAATGCCAATGCCGTAAATTCACTTTTGACTCTACTAAGGTGTAAGCTAACCAGAGTAACCCACCTATGATCCGAGCGCCAAGTTTTCCCATTTTAAACTCAAAACCTTTGAACTATATAGCTTCACAAGATTATATATACATACACACACACACACACACACACACACACACACACACACACACTTACAGCTATGCAGCCATGAGCACTGATTTGTATAACTCCATCCTTGACAAGAAGTTTAATAGTTTATTACACTATGCTAAATGTAATGTCACTGTAGCAGACCATCTTTTAAGTAAGGCCTCGAGAAGACAACTTATTTAAACAAAACTCCATGAGGAGACATTTCCCCAATTACTAATGTTATTTGGGAATGGATTCTGAAATACAGTAAATAGAATTTATGGAACCATCTATACTAAAAGAGCCACTAATATATGTGCACTGTTTTGCCATAGGGTTAGGGTGTCTATTAAACAATTTTATTACCTACATGCATGAGAAAGCAGTTCTGTAACCAAGTTAGGAAACATTTTCCTGTCCACACTGACAGCGGGTCCATTATAAAACAGATTCCCACGACCATGGAAGAAAACAGTGCACTAAAATAATGGGCTTGTTAGTGTAGATAGTCCCTAAATATCTTTTTGCCTGCTGTATTAGGGAAATGCTGGAGAGTCCAGTTGCTAAAGACGCAACAATAATATCTCACACTACGTCTGTACTTACCAGATAATACACTTTAAAAATGAATAAGAACTTGTAGTTGTGGGGAAGCAGCTGTCATTAAAAAGTATATTTTGCTTAAACAATGTACTCGAATCACTGTCGCTAACTCCAGAAGGGCTCAAGTTCTAGCTAGGGCAGTGGTCTCTATAGACATCTGTTGCCATCAAAGTTTTTAAGAGATCAATTAATATACAAAGAAAGCTTCGCAGTACTCTCCTCTTTTGATGAGCCATAAAGCAACCAGTATAAGAAGACACTAAGGTTAAAAGTTCTATTGAGGGGTGGGTGGGAGAGGGTTGTTACATACATTAATATTATAGTTCTCTAAAACTGGAAACTGTAAAACTGTAAAAATATCCATTTACTTCTCACCATTAATGCTATGAGGATTTTGGTTTTATTTGCATTTCTCTCAACTGCAATGAAAACACACTAGTCTTATCTTTGTTCCTATTTTTTAGTCTTTCACTTTCTGGTTCTGCACTAATGCAATAATCCATTGCAAACACTGCAGAGGAATTTATGAATAAACAAAAACACTTTCTATAGATTTTTTTTAAGTCATGAAACCAGATCTGGTACGATTTGTAAAAACAATAATTGACAATATACATTGTAAATTTAGGCCTAATCTTCCCGACTTCCCCCTTTAATGTTAAGAGCATATCACATTCTCTGCTCCAGTCCAAGGACCTGATCTATTCACAATAACCAAACAAAACATTCTGAATCCATTCTATTTGTTTCTTGTATGTGTTATAATTTACTATAGGTATATCAATTTTCTCTTAAACCAACTTAGAAGAGATAACTATTTGAAAGCCAAATAAACTGTTTCAACCAAACACACAAGCCAGCTACAAGTTTAAATAAGATCTTACCTATTGTCTTCGACTGGAGGTTTTCATTAGTTAATTGGTTGAAAACAGCTTCTGAAGCCAACATGCCACTTTTCATTGCAGTGTGCGTACCTTTGATTTTAGGAACATTCATGAAACCAGGACTGCAACCAATTAATACTCCACCAGGGAAAGTGAGTTTGGGTATAGACTGAAGAGAAAAATTCAGTGAGATTAAGATTTTTTTTTTTTAAATGAGCATGTATGATGGAAAAACACATCTGGCATGAGACCAGATCCTGAGCAAATAAGAGATATCAAGGCCAATATTGCAGAACTTCATGGTTTTTGTTTAATCAAGTGGAAGCTCAAGAAAACAAATGTGATCTTGTTATACTATTCCACTCAAAATGATTGCTCTACTGAATAGACTATGATAAAGTCACTCAGCAGGTGCCTCCTTCCCCTGTCCCCCACCTTCTGCTCTTGAGTTTAAAATGACAAATGCCTATGTAGCCTGAAAGCTTGTCTCTTTCACCAACAGAAGTTGGTCCAGTAAAATATATTACCTCACCCACCTAGACTCTGCTTTAGTAAGTCAAGCTTCCCTCCTCCCATAGTAACCATATCAGTCTATCTCCGTGTTTAGTTCTCAAGTCTGCGTCCTCTTTCTTAGTGGACAGATTGACTTTCCAGGTATTACTGAGTTTGGCACGAAGTCTCAGTTCCTTTAAGGAAAAAAAAGTTGTGCAGAGACTAATAATGGAATGGTTTCTGGGCACATCTTTCCCTCTCCCTTTCTTCTGAGAAGTATAATATAATCAGGTAGTGAGTGTCACTTCTGAGAAGTTTGCCTGTGGAAAAGTAAACCTCTAAAGCTACATCCCTAAAATAACGAAATGATTCATAAGTATGTCTCATGGAGCAAAAAAACACCAAGAAATTCTAATAAGTATATATAACCACATTTGGATTATCTCTGAAGATTTTTTTTCTTGCTAAGTTTGAATGTTTACAGAGGATAGTTACTAAAATTTGAAGATGCGTTACAGCATTCCTCCCTCTTTACAGTACAGTGTTTGTTTTGTGTACTGGATACTCCCCTCAAGCTGCGAACTTGGTGATTGCCTTCACAGTGAAGGCAACTGGGCTTGGGGGTCAGACAACGTAATAGCAGTTTTAAATCTTCAACTGGACATTTTCTCAAGTGATGTCCCTAAGCACAGTTATACAGCTAAATACAGATTTCATGGGATTAAATGCACTTGTTACATCCTCTGTGTTCATGAAATCTTTGGATGGAATATACAGTAAAATACCACTATTACTGTATTATAACCAAGTCTGCTTGGCATAGTACTGGGGACAATAAAAGTGGTTTCCTGGCTGGTTTTTTTTTATTAAATATATTTTTCCTGTTCCATCTGTCTTTTCCTAAATTTTGCAAATTCCCATATCTTCCTGCATCAGTGCAAACACTCTCCTTAGAGAGAACACAATCGTTAAGCCACTTCAATATAAATCATTACTAATCGCCATTCATCTTTTGTGCATTCCACAGGACTCTCAAGCAGATAGTGCTCTCATGCTATCAGGAGAACCCCAGGCATACTCACGATAGTGTTACAAATATGGCAATTTCCTGCAATATTTTTGGGAGACCAAAATACTGTATTAAGTTGTATCATTGCAGTCCAGGAATTGTGAATAATTCCATGGCATTCATTGCCATAGGATGTTGTGAAGGCTGTAAGTATAACTGGGTTAAAAAAAAATTAGATAAGTGCATGGAAACTAGGTCCATCAATGGCTATTAGCCAAGATGATCAGAGATGCAACCCCACGCTCTAGGTGTCCATAATCCTCTAACTGCCAGAAGCTGGGACTTGACGACAGGTGATCACTCGAAATTGCCCTGTTCTGTTAATTGCCTCTGAAGCTTCTGGCACCAGCCACAGTCAGAGATGGGGAAAGGTGGTCCATTGGTCTAACCAAGTATGGCCACTCTTATGTTCTTATGACTAGGATAAGAAGCTCAAGCAGTGGAGATTGGGACTGGGTAGGCAAGGTAATAGGATTGGGATAAGGAGCCAGGATGGGGAAGAGATAGGACTGAGCTATAGAGAGGTTGGATTAGAGGGTGTAGAGTGTCTGTGCCCACTATTAAATGCTCCCTTTCAGAGTGTGAAGGAAATTGGTTTGTTTCAATGTGCGTTTTAAAAATGTAGGAAGTTACACACAGGCTAAATAAAAACATTTTTAAGGTTGCAAAGTCAAGTGCCCAAAATTTAGGAAATTCCAGAAATCAAGGTTGCTTGCTTGTGTGATCTTAATTTTCGCTCCTTGCATGTATGCATTATGATAAAGTCTTCAATTGCATGATCACATCTTTCCCCCCCCCCCCATGGGACCCTTGCCTCATTCAATGCACAAGATGGACTTGCTCTGGGAATGGATCAGGGTTGTGTAGTAAAGTAGGCTGTGGTCTATAGGACCCTCTGCCTCATTTTGTGCAAAAGGTGGAAAGTGTGTAGTGAATGAGGCAGTGGGTTGCAGGAAAAGAAAGGACGGTCTCGTGGTTAAGGCAGTTGAATGCTGTCCTGGGAGAACTGGATTCTAACCCTGCTTCTGACATATATTTCTAAGTGATACTGGGCAAGTCACTAAAACCAAGCTTTTCAAATTGCATGTTCCTCAAAGAAAGAGGCATCTTAAGTTTATCTATAGCACACAAATTTGGAAAACTCCTGCTGTGGGTAATTTTGTACATATATCCTACATGTATCCTATGTATGAGGCAATATTGTCCACCAAAGAGAAAGAAAAGCTAAGAGCTATAATTCTACTCACATATGAACATAATTCTGCACTCCATATGCTAACTGGTCAAAGATTTCTACTATAGATATTGTCAAGACACCATATACGTTATTATGATTACTCCAGACAATTACTATTCTTGTGCCTATGGACATTTTATTTCCTATTGATTCAATGAGACATTTTTAAAGCCAGCAAACACACCTTTAAAAAGGCACACACCTTGAAGAGTGGAGCAGTTAAAAATTAATGATCAACTAGCAGGTTTTAACATACAGAAAAGTAAACTCCATTTAATGTAGATATAACACAAATTACATACAATAAACCAAGCTTTGCACTAGGAACTACATAAAATAAGTTATACATTATTCAAAACAGAGGAGAGATGGGTACAAGAGCAGGATATTCAGCTGTACTCACATAGAGCTCTGGAGAATGTCTATAGCAACTGTCTTACTCTCTCACATAAACTGGTATAACCCAAGGCAAAGTGGCACATCTGGCCACTTCCTCCTAGCAATAAATACAGTATTGACTAGTCAACTCTCTCTCTTTACTCCTGTACATATTTTGCTGTAACATAGACACAAGACATATCCTAGGACATTCTAATTTAATAGATAGCATGGCATTTTCTCAAGGCCTGGCAATATTCATAGAATTTGATCAATTTATTTTAGAATGGCCAATGAGACTTCCTGGTGCCAAAAGGCGTTGCTTTCTGTCCAGAAATTCCTTTTGTCTTTATCCAATCTTTTATTTCAATGGACACTTGCCAACAGACAAATTGAAGACATTTTAGTTTAGATATTACAAGTATAGATAGTTCTTGTTAGTAGGGCCACAGGGAATTCAGAATAAATAGTTTAGTTGTGTTACAAAAGAAAAAGCCCACACCCAAACAAAAACCCTAAACACACCCTTACCTGGAAACCGCCTTCATTCAAGGCTCTAGCACCATAGGCAATCCTTTTTCCACCCTCAAAAGTGGGCTCCACACTGGGATGATGTTTCCATCTCTGGAACTCTTTAAATGGGCTCAAATAGGGATTTTGATAATCTAAACCAACCTTTAAAACAAAACAATAAAATAAAACATGCCATGAATATTAAAATGTGAACATTTCAACAAAAGAAGTTATTTTATACTCCTTGAAGTTTTTAAAGTGCTTGTACACAAATGCTAGAAGTCTAAAGAATAAGATGGGTGAACTAGAGTGCCTCATGATAAAGGAGGATACGGATATAATAGGCATCACAGAAACCTGATAGACTGAGGACAATCAATGGGACACAATCATTCCGGGGTACAAAATATATCGGAAGGACAGAACAGGTCGTGCAGGGGGAGGGGGAAGAAGAGGGGGGAGTGGCACTATATAATTTAATAGTTTAATTAAATGTGAAATTAAATTAAATTAAATGTGAATTAAATATGTGAAAGAAAATGTAGAATCAAATGAAGTAAAAATCTTAAGTGAATCCACATGTTCCATGGAATCTCTATGGATAGTAATTTCATGCTCTAATAAGAATATAACAGTAGGGATCTATTATCGACCACCTGACCAGGAAAGTGATAGTGATGATGAAATGCTAAGGGAAATTAGAGAGGCTATCAAAATTAAGAACTCAATAACAGTGGGGGATTTCAATTATCCCCATATTGACTGGGAACATGTCACCTCAGGACAAAATGCAGAGACAACATTTCTCAATACTTTAAATGACTGCTTCTTGGAGCAGCTGGTATGGGAACCCACAAGGGGAGAGGCAATTCTAGATTTAGTCCTGAGTGGAGTGCAGCAGCTGGTCCAAGAGGTAACTATAACAGGACCGCTTGGAAATAGTGACCATAATACAATAGCATTCAACATCCCTGTGGTGGGAAGAACATCTCAACAGCCCAACACTGTGGCATTTAATTTCAAAAGGGGGAACTATGCAAAAATGAGGGGGTTAGTTAAACAGAAGTTAAAAGGTACAGTGACTAAAGTGAAATCCCTGCAAGCTGCATGGGCGTTTTTTAAAGACACCATAATAGAGGCCCAACTTAAATGTATACCCCAAATTAAGAAACACAGTAAAAGAACTAAAAAAGAGCCACTGTGGCTTAACCATGTAAAAGAAGCAGTGAGAGATAAAAAGACTTCCTTGAAAAAGTAGAAGTCAAATCCTAGTGAGATAAATAGAAAGGAGCATAAACACTGCCAAATTTAGTGTAAAAATGTAATAAAAAGCCAAAGAGGAGTTTGAAGAACGACTAGCCAAAAACTCAAAAGGTAATAACAAAATGTTTTTTAAGTACATCAGAAGCAGGAAGCCTGCTAAACAACCAGTGGGGCCCCTCGATGATCGAGATACAAAAGGAGCGCTTAAAGACGATAAAATCATTGCGGAGAAACTAAATGGATTCTTTGCTTCAGTCTTCACGGCTGAGGATGTTAGGGAGATTCCCAAACCTGAGATGGCTTTTGTAGGTGACAAATCTGAGGAACTGTCACAGATTGAAGTGTCACTAGAGGAGGTTTTGGAATTAATTGATAAATTTAACATTAACAAGTCACCGGGACCAGATGGCATTCACCCAAGTTCTGAAAGAACTCAAATGTGAAGTTGTGGAACTATTAACTAAGGTTTGTAACCTGTCCTTTAAATCGGCTTCTGTTCCCAACGACTGGAAGATAGCTAATGTAACGCCAATATTTAAAAAGGGCTCTAGAGGTGATCCTGGCAATTACAGACTGGTAAGTCTAACGTCAGTACTGGGCAAATTAGTTGAAACAATAGTAAAGAATAAAATTGTCAGACACATAGAAAAACATAAATTGTTGGGCAAAAGTCAACATGGTTTCTGTAAAGGGAAATCGTGTCTTACTAATCTATTAGAGTTCTTGGAAGTGGTCAACAAACATGTGTACAAGGGGCAATCCTAGGACCAATCCTATTCAACTTATTCATAAATGATGTGGAGAAAGGGGTAAAAAGTGAGGTGGCAAAGTTTGCAGATGATACTAAACTGCTCAAGATAGTTAAGACCAAAGCAGACTGTGAAGAACTTCAAAAAGATCTCACAAAACTAAGTGATTGGGCAACAAAATGGCAAATGAAATTTAATGTGGATAAATGTAAAGTAAAGCACATTGGAAAAAATAACCCCAACTATACATACAATATGATGGGGGCTAATTTAGCTACAACGAATCAGGAAAAAGATCTTGGAGTCACTGTGGATAGTTCTCTGAAGATGTCCACGCAGTGTGCAGAGGCGGTCAAAAAACCAAACAGGATGTTAGGAATCATTAAAAAGGGGATAGAGAATAAGAAGGAATATATTATTGCCCTTATATAAATCGATGGTATGCCCACATCTTGAGTACTGCATACAGATGTGGTCTCCTCATCTCAAAAAGATATACTGGCACTAGAAAAGGTTCAGAGAAGGGCAACTAAAATGATTAGGTGTTTGGAACGGGTCCCATATGAGGAGAGATTAAAGAGGCTAGAACTTTTCAGCTTGGAAAAGAGGAGACTAAGGGGGGGATATGATAGAGGTATATAAAATCATGAGTGATGTGGAGAAAGTAGATAAGGAAAAGTTATTTACTTATTCCCATAATACAAGAACTAGGGGTCACCGAATGAAATTAATAGGCAGCAGGTTTAAAACAAATAAAAGGAAGTTCTTCGCGCAGCGCAGTCAACTTGTGGAACTCCTTACCTGAGGAGGTTGTGAAGGCTAGGACTATAACAGTGTTTAAAAGAGAACTGGATAAATTCATGGAGGTTAAGTCCATTAATGGCTATTAGCCAGGATGGGTAAGGAATGGTGTCCCTAGATTCTGTTTGTCAGAGGGTGGAGATGGATAGCAGGAGAGAGATCACTTGATCATTACCTGTTAAGTTCACTCCCTCTGGGGCACCTGACATTGGCCACTGTCGGTAGACAGGATACTGGGCTAGATGGACCTTTGGTCTGACCCAGTACAGCCGTTCTTATGTTCTTTAAAGTGCCATATCAGCATTAAAACATGGTTTGTTAAGTCCATTGTTACACCAACTTCAGGATCTTTTCATTACATTCAAGATGCAAGAAGCAGCCAAACTATATTCATGACTTACTTCAGACCTATTAACAATATGCTCAGAACCAAGTCAGAGGACTTCGTTACAAGGTTGTCTTGAAAGTATCTAACTAAGCTGTAACCAGCTCTCCTAACAGTCCATCCCATTGGAAACTGAATCATCATAATGAAAGTGCATTTTTAAACATGGTTTGCCTGAGCAGTGTGGATGAAACAAAAAACTTTTTAAAAGTCATATCAAAATTATGCTCTGATCACTAGGTATTGCCCAGGGGCTTCTCCTTCAACCCTGGGTAGTAAGTCCGGTTTCAGCCACTCATTGATAAATTTTTCAAGCACTACTTTTACATGGCTTAAAGTTGAGTCAATTAACATTTTGAAATGAGTGAAGCATCTATATAAAGCAGCAAAGGAACAATGATACAAAGACAGAATGAAAAGAGACTTCACCAGTTGGCGGAACGCCCAGGAGTTCATATTTTACATTCAGTCAAAAGCTAGTGCTAAGATGTGTCTTGCATTTTTCTAGATGGTAAAGTTCCAGCTTTGACATATTCCTGACAGGAGCAATTCCAGAAGCATGATCCTTATGTCAAAAAGCCCTGTTTCTGGCTCTTGCAAGCTTTACCCCTGGGACAATTATTTCCAGGGTTTTAGACAACAGAACAACATAATATGGGTGAGAGAAATAGAGAATTTTTTAGATAACTTGGCCAAAGCTACCTACATCCATCTCAGCTGATTCCATCTCAGAGTCCACTCGCTGCCAATGGAATTGACAGCTCACCATAGTCTGACAGAAGACAACTACTTTCTTCATCAGTTTTACAAGGAGCTTTCATAATTAAGGCTTATGTACCAAGGGAAACTATTGCAAAATAAGCTAGGGTGTGAATTTAAAACAGCAATTCTGCACTAGCTCCCAGTGTGGACTCTCTTATTCTACACTAAGTGCCTTTGTGCAGTTTAGTTTAAATGGATTAAGCTAAACTGCACAAAGTCACTCTTCGTATGGAATATGAGTGGCCATATTGGGAGCTAGTGTGCAGTTGCTATTCTGTGCTATTTCCTGATGTACACAAGACCTTAATGCATTGATATGCAAACTTTTCCTGTCGCGCCCCCACTTACCATTAATGGAATCTGTGCCCCCCTCCCCCATTACTGCACAGCCAAGGTCATCTTAGCAGTGGAGTTGGGAGAGGAACTGGGGTTGGAGGAGGAGCTGGGGCTAGAAGCAGAGTTGGTCAGAGAAGAGAGGGAATGAGGACACAGCTGGGCTGGGGGTGGAATGGAGCTGGGGGCAAAGCAGGACTGGAGGCAGAGCAGGGCCTGGAAGTGGAAAAGGAAAGGGGCTGAAAGAGTCTGGGGCGGAGCAGGTCTGGAAGCATGGTGCTCCCTCCCCATCCCAGTGGAGCCTGGCCTGGGTCCTGCTGCATGCCCCCCATATGTTCCTCAACACTCCTTAGGGTGGCGTACCCCACAGTTTGGGGACCACTGTCTTAATGCAAAGCCCTTGTTGCAATAGTCTGGACTGGAGGTTATGAAGGTATAGAAGACAGAGGCAAACAAAGGGAAAAGGAGGCTGGGGGGAGGGGTTGTTTATACAACTTAAACAGGAGGGAATACATTTATCCATGATCAGCATGGTAGTACAAGAACCAAATATTAACAAGCATTCTGAAAAAGCTGATACAGTTTGCATGAGTAACTGAGTACCTGAGTGCTAACACATGCAACTGGTCATGCAAACATTTACAATTTTACTTGACACATATCTTGCTCTTATTATAGGTGACATAAGTAGCAACATCTGTAGTTATGGTTGCCTTGCACTTCCCATTATAGAAGACTGTTGCTTATAAATTTAACCATCCGAGCTGAAATTTCCAATGCTGGGTGCTTGCCTCAGGTTGAATGTCTTTGGGAAAATTTTCGTATAAATGGTTTAGCATTTCTCAGATGAAGTTAAGGAAAAATACATAGTTCTGCAAATGTTAAAACTCAACTGTTTGTTGAGAAATTCTAGCATTTCCTGCTTTAAAGCAGGGACTTAAATTTTGTTCTAGCAGCAAACCATGACTTACCACAAACCCAAGAGCTACCAATGGTTCACCTTCATTTAAATGATAAAGAAATGATCCTCCATACGTATGTCGGTCCAAGGGCCAGCCCACAGTGTGTTCCACTCTTCCTGGTTTCCATTTCTTTTCATCAATAAGCCACAACTGGAATAGAGACTACTTTATAATGCAAGTCATTTTAATAATGCAATATAAAAACAAAACCCAACTAGAAATGATATGGACAAGATTGCAAAAACATTGCTTTGAATTTACTATGCTGTGGTATATGATAAAGCTCATACAGCTGAGGACAGAGTAAGGCAGTACAAATGCTCTCTCAGCATATTTTCAAGTGACAATTCAAATACTTTCCTTCCTTAAAACACCTCACATCAGCAAATTCAACAAACAGCATGGTCTTTAATATTTACACCATGGAAGATAAAATTTGTCACAGCCCCAGCACCCACCATTAATCACAGAAGAGCCTGCATTTTGCATCAGTATTTTAATAACTTCTGAATGTATGCAAGAAAAGCACATGCTTAAACTGACTTTTTTTTTTAATTTAAAGAACACAAAAGTTTTGGGTTACTTAACAGTGAAAATTCCTTTCAATAACTTCTTTACTTGGGACCTGAAAAAACTACTGTAATCACTCATTTGGAACCTCAAAATCTCAAAGGCCAACCTTCTACTTCTACTATACTGTACTACTTGAAGTTTTGTAAAAGATCATATAGTTTCACAGTTTTAAAAAAATACAGAAGTCTAAAAAATTATTTTGAATATACATAGTCTGGAGTAGACACTGATGGTTAAGGAACACAAGTTAATACATGTTAAAACCTTGAATATATTTTGTGTAAAACCAACAGTTACTCTACCAGTGTAATATATTTGTACTCAGAAAAAACATTAAAAATATTTTCCAAAAATATAACCCCAACATGTCTTAATTATATGCATATTGAATTAACACTGCAGACAATGTGTAGCTAGCACAATTTTGACATCTGCTGTATAGATCAAAGAAAGTTTCCAGCTATCACTTCACTATAATGCAACAGAGCACTAGCTAGTTTATACCCCGACATGTCACAGAATAGTCACAAGATGGAAAGGTTGTTGGGGTTTGTTGACAGCTGTGCAATACCTGGACAGTTTTCCAACTTAGCTGTACCTTTGTTCTCCCTTAATCAGGGACAGTCCGTGCTAGGCTAAAAGTGGACCTTAAAAAGAAATATTTTGTACTCTTAAAATATGAAATTATTTACAAGTTAAATCAATTTAAAGAGTGAATTTAGTTTGGAAACAAAACTCTTCACAAGAGTTAAAGAATACCTGCACTGTAAATGGAAAAAAAAGAGGATGGGAAACCAAACAAAACTACCCAGAGTTAGTTATGATGTTCAATAAAATGGCAGCAGAAAAGCAACGAGTTAATGTCATATAGGAAGTTAAGGAGAGTAAGAAGGAAAAATACAATAGGGACTAACCCTGCCTTGGCCAGGAGATGGATGTCACAACTTAAACAGGCCTTTTCACACTCCTTATTCTATAATACCAAAACGATTCAAAAGTTTACAAACTTAACTCCAAGCTCTTGTCAAAATCCACCACTCACTACTTAAGTGTACAATCTAAAGAAAAAACCTCAGTTTTAGAAAGCAGTTTATACACACATTTTGAAACAGTCTAGTTTGCAGCAAGTCTTATACTTCAATCATTTAAGCGTACAAGTATTATGATAAAACTAAGTACAGATACCTCTTTCAGTCCGATACCATAGCTCTGGGGTTGACATTTCTCCCTTAGATTGTATCTGTTGTACAATTGTTTGGCAAGATGTCCATGACAACCTTCTGCAAAGAACGTGACTTTGGCATGTAGCTCCAGACCTCTTTCAAAGTTAGTCTGTAAAAACAAAGAACCTGTAGTCACCACCCTGTTTAGATAACATGAGAGAGGGAAAGGGAGGCACAGAGTGCTGTTAAGGCACTTTAGGATCTTCCTGATTCTGGGATACTCTAGAGATTGAAGCAACTGCTGGGCATTTGTCGATATTACTGCAGCCTTCCTGGGCTTGCCCAGGAACTATGCAGCACTGTGTGCTGTGGTCCCACCCTGAAACACTCCTCCCACCCCACCACAGTACTCCCCCTGTGCCAGAGTATGTGCAGGGCTGTCTTCCACAGTTCTCATATCAGGACAATGATCCTCTAGCCAAATAGGGGGCTCCTAGAGCACATTTACTCTATACAGGCCCTTTTACCCAGCATCAGGAGGCCAGAGTGGAGGTGAGGACCTCACCCAGATAGCTGTGTCACAGATTCGCAGGATCGGTGCTGTGCCCCCAGTTTTTAAATAGTCCCTTTGAGGAACCCCTTCAATATACCTGACCCCCAGGAAGTCTCACTCTTCCCTCAAGGTAGGCTATGCAGCCTCACCATCTTCTGAGACAACTTCTAGGGCTTCAACACTCCCGCTTCACACTGTGAGCTCTGCTCAGCAAGTCCAACTGAGAGAGACTCCTGGTTAGAGACCTGTACACTCTTCAAGGGACTAACGCACCTCATCCAGTATTTGCAATGATACTCAAGCAGCGATTTCAAAACAGTGGGGTTTATTAGTTGACTAGAACACAGCATTGGACGTCCTTAAGTTAGCATAGAGAAATAAAGGTTAAAGCACAGTCCATTCTGGTCAGCCCAGTGCACTTCACCAACCAAGCTGTAGTGAACCAAGTGTCCATTTTCAGGCTTTGTCTCTCTCTAACCTCCTTAGTCAGTTTCCAGGTGAGAGCACCCAAGCTTCTTCCAGAAGCCAGTTCTTGATTCCTCCATCTCACTCCTCTCAATCTTTTGTTCTTGAGCTGGGGCCGCTGCTCAGCTTCCTTGCTGAGAGACAGGGAAATTCTCTTCCCTCTAGGTCATTGTTTGTTACCATAAAAGTTGTATTAATATGCTTGTAGATGTATTATATTATGGAAAAACTCAAATGATATTTTAGGAGGAAAACAGGATAAAAAAATTCTCCCAGGAGATGGATTAATAATTCTCTTTCGGCATTTTTGTCATAAGGCTATATCCTACCCAAACTCAAAAAAGTGGTACTGAAATTTTTTATTTCACTTAATTTATGACAGTTTTCTCACAGGGCATTGGGGATGGAACTAAACGTACTATGTTCCTTAAATACTGGTATTCATGCTTAGGGGTAGGTAAGTGCCAGTTTTTGCTGGAACTTTCCCCACTTTCTGCATTTCTGATTGAGAAGCAGAAGGTGAACTGTATTTGCAGCATACAGATGAATAAATAGACTTGTTACTTATGTTAATATGACTATGCATGCATATGGTGCTGTTTCATAGAAGCCATGTCCTTGCTAAGATAACGGCAGTTACATTAGCTATTTAATTATGGTTTCTAAATGTAGACATCCTACATTAGCTATGTTTCCAAATTTATGTAACAAAAAATGTTTTGCAGTTGGCATCTTTCTCCTGCACCTATACAAGAACCAGTGCTTGTTTTATTGTATATTTATACCGTTGCCTTCACATTTTTAAATTAATTTGTACTACAGTAGTGTGTTGGGGCTCCGGTCATGGATGAGGGCCCCATTGGTTAGGCACTGTTCTAAGACAAACAAGAGACATTCCTCGCCTCAAAGAGCTTATAATTTTAGTAAATTTACTGATCAAGGCCCTGATCTTGCAGACACTTGGACATCTTTAACTCCATCCATTGTGAGTTGTACTGCTAACTTCAATGGAACTACTCACAGAGCCTAAAGTTAAACACCTGTGCAAGTGTTTGTAGGAGTGGGGCCCTAATCATTAAGATTAATAAATTAAACGAGTTAATAAAAAATGTCTGTCATGAGAGAAATTTCTGAATAAGTGGTGCAGTTTTCTTACAAGTCATAGAAGACATTCTGCTCCTTTTCTACAGTTCCTAGGTCTGGGGCTCTTTACATCAGGAATAAAATCAGGCTTTCAACTACTGCAACAAATGTGAATATTACTGGTACCATCTACTGGTGAAAATATAGAATTGAAAATAATTTTAGCTATTTGGTGTAACAAATAAAGGTATAATGAGAGGTGACAGTTGTTCTGTTTGAATTATTTCAAGACAAGAGTGTACTAAATATATGATTTCATGGTCAACTATTTTAAATGTAGGAATGTCAGCCTCCTTATTAGCAGGAAAAGCACATTTTAAAAAGTGAACAAAAAAAAAAATAATACTCCAAAGGAGGAAGCACTAAGTGGATGCAGACAGCTACCACACAGGCAGGAGGATTCATCCAGTAAGCACCTTGCCCACAAAAGGCAGATGGGATGGAGTCAGCAAAGTACAACAGAACTGCAAAAAGGGCAGACGGCAGCAACCAGCCATTAGAACAACAGTGTTTTGTATTTTATGAGTTACCAGTTGGACATATCTCTCTCCCACTCACCTTCATGACTTCTTCCATTCAGTCCCCTCTTTCCTCCCACTCCATCCTTCCAACCACCACCTATGCCAAACAAACCTCTCCAATTTTCATTCAAATCCCTCCTTAAACAATTCCTCCTTCTCTGAAGACTTTCACTGATAATACCAGGGACTTTTGGTTTGTTTGTTTGTTTTAAGGGTATAACACCAAGCACAACAATGGCACCAGAATGATGTATGTAGAATAAAGAATTGGACCTTTGCCTATTAAAAAGGTAAGTACTCACTTTAGGTGCTCCATCCTTTTGAATGCCTACATCATTAGTGGCAATCCCTTTCACACTGCCATCTTCATGAAAAAGAACCTATGGAAATATTCAAACAACATCTATTTTAAAGACCTGTCATTTTAAGCCCATTTCTAAAATTATTTCCAAGTGCAGAAAACATGGAGTTTAAAAAATCCAAACCTTTTAACTAAGAGCTCAGTCTTGAAAACAATGGGATTAATCATGTGCTTAAATGCTTTGCTGAATTGGAGACAGAGTATTCTGGAGTATTTGCAGAACTGAGCCCTAATTTTTCAAGCATTTCTGTGTAATATGGGACTTGTTAAAAAATAGAAAATTGGGCTAAAATCTCACACACAAATAGTTACGTTATTACCTCAGCTGCTGCATAGCCTGGATACACCTCAACACCCAAAGCTTCTGCTTGCTCACCCAGCCAATTCACAAAGTGCCCTAGGCGCACTATATAATTCCCATGATTAGTCATTGGAAGGCCTGGGCAAAAGGGAGAAATACACCACAATCTATTCAGGTTTATGGATTAAAATATATACACATATACACAGGAGATGTACATGCTTAAAATTTAATACTTTTAAAAATACAAACGTTTGGTTCAATGCAATCTACTAGTATCTTTTTGCTATGATTGCTGTCTCTATACAGAGACGTCGTGTGAGTTTTAATATGTACAATCTACCTACTTATATTCCCATCATTATAGTTTGTGTACAAAGTTGCTAAAAAGCAGCTGCTGCAGTATTGCTTGCCTCCCAACATATACCATAGTTTCTTCTTGAAAAATATAACATAGCCCCGGTGAGCTTTTTATAACCATATTAAACCTCAGCCCTGTTTTTTCAGTAAGTGTTCTAGCTTTTCAACAAGCTGTACCTGGAAGAATTGGCACTGGAATTCTGGAATTCTTTGTTAAAATCCCAAATTTGTCTTCAGTTACTGGAGTCTGAAGTGGAGCCTAAAAAGAAAAGTCATCACTGTGAACTGTTTTTGCTGCCTGTCAAGAAGCAGACATTTTCTCTCCCTTCCCAAGGAACAAATTAAAGATCTAGTGTAGTATGACACAAAGATATACTGGTCTTGTGAGAAAGTTTCATGACAGAGGTAAAGGACAGAGTCTCAGGCAGAGCAATATTCAGGTAAAAAGTCAACAAAATTAATACTCCTCAACTTTTGGAATTGACATAGGGCTCCCCTCCACACCCCCCCACACCCCACAACAAACAGTTCCTTTCTTATCCAAGAGTATTTTTTACACAAAAAGCATAAAGGAAACAACTGTGCAATGAAAGGTTATATTTATAAATCATCTTATTTAAAAATAATATATAGAGGTGCAGCATGGAACTTGATGCAGAGTTCGTTTCAAGCTAGAGATGAATCATAATGATTAAACATTCATACCCCTCGCTCCTTCCAGTCCGGTAAGAGTTCTTCCAAAGCACGTGGCTCAAGACAAGCACCAGAAAGCGTATGTGCACCGATCTGAGCAGCCTTCTCCACCAGGCAAACACGAACTTCTTTGCCATACTCATTGGCTAACTGTTTGAGTCGAATAGCTGCAGAAAGACCCGCAGGGCCTGCTCCAACTATGACAACATCAGCTTCTTCTGCAAATCTTTCCATGTTCACCCCTTTAATAGAGCAAAGTATGATACAGCGATTTTGTCCAATAATATATCCCTCTCACCATTCTCTTCCCCTCTCTCTCTAAAGTTTATTGTTTTGCTTTGTCGTATCAGCCATCAAGTATCAAAATACTGTCACCTTGAACTAAGTGGGGTTATTCAACAGATGTGAACACAATGTACATGAACTGCATTTTAATTGTGCTTTTGCCTATTGTTTGGAATATAAAACTAAGCCTTTGCTAATAAAGAGGGAGACAGAAAGAACTTTAGATTCTCATCTCCAGTGCTTGTGCCATCCTAGAATGCTTAAAATAAAGGCCCAGATCTACGCTTACTTCTCAGGTGTGTTTGGTACAGCTCAGGAGAAAAGAGGGGGGGAGAAGTGCCATTAAGCAACCTTAATGGTTCTCCTCCTTCCCCCTGATGCTGGGAATGCTGGTCCAGTCCCAGGTATCTGCTGCTTTGCTCTGACAGTCAGGGGTCCCCAAGAGCTGTTCTGGCAACAGGGATTGTTTGGACATAAAGATGACCCAGTCACACCCACTTTCTCCAAGGAGCTGCTAAGGTTAGTGAATTTATAGATTAAAATAGCATAAATAAATATCTTATTTGCCCTATTTCATCATCATCAACTCATGAGACCACATTATAAAAGTAGAAAAATACATATCCTGACTGCAATAAGGTAATAAGATAAATAAGACAAACGTTAACTTTTTAGTTTGTATATCTATAGCTACAAGATGCATTTACACATTTGCATCATGAAGTCTCATACTTTCTTAGTTTAATTAGGAGCAAACTAAATATGATCAGTTCTGCTACACTAAAGCTGACCATCACAAGCAAGCAACCATAAAATGGCATCTGAATCTTTAGTATTGCACTTAACAGAACAACATTTCTGTAAAATAACTGTGCTGTTAACATTTTAAAATGCCTGCAATTAATATAGACAAGCTGTTTTCTTAACATGCAATTTTTCATTTACCTTCCCATCGTTTGTCTTTGTTCCGAGAATGAATAGTATAGTGTGTAGTGATTCGAGGCACAGAGGAAGTAGAAGCCCATCTTGCAATACACAAAGGCGGTAGACAGTCTTTCTTTACTGACTTTAAAGCACGCAAACAATGATGTGCTGTAAAAAAAGGACAACTAGATTAGCTGAACCATTTAACTGTTAACATAGATAATAGTTAACACCAAAGGCTTGAACCCACTTTTTTTTTTTTTAAATCTTTAGGATACTCAGTACAGAAAAATCCTAAACAAATTAATAAATCATGACCCTACTCTATGTTTCAGGATTAAAGATAGGAAGTTGACTGCAGGAGGCATTATTCCACCTGGTGGTACATGATACATTTTGCAACATCACACTCCCATTATCAGGAAATGGGAATAGGAAAACAGTGCCCACCACATGGAAAAAACAGTTCTTAACATTACTTTTTAAGGCTATAATGTTTTCACCCCTCTACATTGCACTTTTGTCAGCAAAACTTTTGTTGGTCAGGGGTGTGGAAAAAAAACATATTCCCAACCGACAAAAGTTTTACCAACAAAAAGCGCCAATGTGGACAGTGCTTTGTCAGCGGGAAATGCCCTCCTGCCGACCACTCGTTAGTGGTGGTTTTATTTTGCTGGCAGGAAAGTGATCTCCTGCCAGTGATGAGCAACTACATGAGAGATCTTAAAAGCAGCACAGCTGTGCTGCTGTAAGGTACACAGTGTAGACATAGCCTTAGTTTCAGCTGTTACATTTGAGATATTTACCCTTCTAGCACACAAAGTCTTTATTTTCTGTTTTGCTGGAGTTTTCTCCTATTTTCTAGTTCCCTGTGTTCCTTGCACAGAGATAGTCTATAGTTTTATAACAGGCTTAATTTCCTCTACTTGTGTCTACTGTTAGTAATTTTAAAGAAAAGTAATTAAGTAGAGAGGGAGGAAACTTCCATGCCTGCCATATATGGCAGGTTTGAGGGATCAGGAAGATGAATTTCATATTAAAATAGAGTCTATGTTTATATTTTAGAGTATCCACCATCATAATATATTAATTCTGTAATATGAATGACCTAGTCATCGGTGGAACCCTATTTGAACTTCGGGAAATTCACAAGCTGACATGGTGTTCTCCAAATGGCAGAGAGAAGAACCAGATTAGCTATATAAAGAACAGGAGTACTTGTGGCACCTTAGAGACTAACAAATTTAGTCTCTAAGGTGCCACAAGTACTCCTGTTCTTTTTGCGGATACAGACTAACACGGCTGCTACTCTGAAACCTGTCATTAACTATATAATGATCAATGGCAAATGGCGACACTCACTGACAGATGTGAAAGTGAGAAGGGGTGCAGATGTTGGCAGCGACCACCACTTTGTGATAGCCTCCATCAAGCTAAAACTGAGAAGTGTGGGTCCACCAAACAAGGGACATAGACGCTATGATATTGACAAGCTGAAGTCCCTTGCAATACAGAAAGCCTTCGTTCTGCAGTTAAAGAACAGGTTTCAAGCACTTGCAGACCTTGATGAAGAGGAGGGGAATGCAGATGAGGAGATCAAGAAGTGGAACAAAGTAACATCAATTTTCTAAACAGAGCAGTGAAGCCTGTCTAGGCTACAGGAAGAAGAGAAGGAAGGAGTGGATTACAACCAGCACATGGAATGCCACAGAAACCAGACGAGCCCTGAAGAAAAAAGCTTCAGACACAAAATCACAGAAGCTAAAGGACAAATACCACGAGCAGTATAGCAAGGGTCAAATGCTTTGTGAGAGTGGACAAACATCATTATATTGATAATCTGGCAACACAAGCAGAGGATACAGCTGCTTGTGGTGAACAAGGAACCATCTACAAAATGACGTGGCTTATCAGTGGTAAACGGCAGACACCAACAAACACTCTCCAAGAACAAACAAGGACACCTACTAACAACTGAAAAAGAACAAGAAATGCGCCGGACAGAGCATTTCAAAGAATTGCTGAACAGGGAGCCACCTAAAGAGGAAGCAAACATCTAGGAGGCAGAAGAAGATCTTGATATCAACACAGACAGCCCAACTAAGGAAGAGATCATTCAAGCCATCAAATCCTTAAAAAATGGGAAAGCTTCTGGCAAGGATAACTTGAATGCAGAATTGTTCAAGGTAAATCCTAAATTAGCAGCATCTATCCTGCTCTATTTACATCAGTCTGGGAAAGGGAAAAAGTGCCAGATGAGTGGACCAATGCGGTCATAGTGAAGATATCAAAGAAAGGAACTCTGTGATTGTAATAACTGGCATGGTATAACACATTTATCTGTGCCAAGCAAATTATTATGTAAGATCATAGTCCAGCGTATATCAGAGGTAGTTGATAGCATTCTCAGAAAAGAGCAAGCTAGTTTTCAGAAAGGGCATGGATGCACAGACCAGATCTTCACTCTACGAAACATAATAGAACAGTGCTTAGAATGGCAACGGCAACTTTACATAAATTTCATAGACTTTGAGAAGGCTTTTGATAGCATTCACAGGACCAGCCTATGGCACATTCTGTGGGCATATGGAATTCCTTTCCGTATAATTGTCATCAAAAGCTTCTATTTCAACTTTACATGCAGTGTTGACCACAGTGAAGCTTTGAAGTCAAAACAGGAGTATGTCAGGGGTGTGTCATGTCTGCAATCCTCTTCAACATTGCCACTGACTGGGTGATGCGGCATACAAAAGAAGACATGCCAAGAGGCATTAAATGGAGACTCTTCTCATCCTTTGAAACCTGGACTTTGCAGATGATGTCATGCTCCTATCACATACCCAACACCATATACAAAGAAACAACAACTCGACTCAACGCATTCAGCCAGCAAATTGGACTGACAATCAATCGCAATAAGACAGCTATCGTGATCTTTAATAATGCCTTATTGGCACCAGTAAGGAGAGAGGATTATGTTCTCAACAATGTAGAAACATTCACATACTTGGGTAGCACCATCAGCCAGGACGGTGGAACAAGCCAGGACATCCAAAACAAAATCAATAAAGCCAGGAACACCTTCAGGAGCTTAAATACAGTCTGGAAATCATCATCAAAACCAAACTCAACATTTATCAGAGCTGCATACTTTCAACACTACTTTATAGTGCAGAATGCTGGGGAATGAGAAAGTATGACCTGCCCAAACTGTCTTCGTTACATACAACCTGCCTCAGAAAAATCCTCTGTATCTTTTGGCCCAGAACAATCTCAAACCAAGATCTATTGACACAGTGCAACCAAGAATATCTGAGCACCATCATTGCCAGGAAGCGTTGAAGAAGGATTGGTCATGTGCTTCGGATGGAAACTGATTCCATCACCAGAGTAGCAATAAGATGGACACCTGAAGGCAAGCGAAAATGAGGCCACCCAAAAACAACATGGCCAAGAGCTGTGGAAGCCGAGCTGAAAAACCTGGGGCACAGCTGGGGAACCATTGAAAGACTTGCCAGAAACAGACAGGAGTGAAGGAGCTTCGTCACTGCCCCAAACTCCAGAGGCATAATAGGCACATGATAATTATGATGACCATCATAATATATGAGCATCAAAATCAGGATTTATTCTTGTATGTAGTATTCCATAATGGACCCTGCTTTTGCCATCCCTAATTTTGGTCACTAAACTTCGATTTTTAAAAACGTACAATATACAGATGTGACTAGTTTTGCTGTAGCTCAGACACTAAAACATAACCCAGTAGAAGAATAAAAAAACATAAGTTAAAATAATAGAAAAAAAGCCATAGAATTTCTCTGTCAACTAGCTTATCGAGTAAGGACAAACAATATTAGTTGCTTAGTCCTTAAAAGGAAAAAGAAAGTTGAGCTAAGTTAGAACTCAAGGAAGTCTTAACTCTGAAAAACTAGCCAAAGTACAGGGATGGGCTAGGCAACTTTCCTCACCAACTCAAAGTACAACTAATAGAACATATAATTCCTTTTGTGTTCTTTTTAGGCCAAACAAATGCTTTGGTGATCTTCATCTCTATGATTAAAAAAATCCTCACAGAACCCACAACCAAAAAGTCCTAGAGCTAACAAAAATAGTATGCACATACAAGAGAAAAACATATCGTAAGAAAACATTCAATTTCAAACTTCCAAAGATTTATAGTAAACATCAACATACAAACAAAAAAGGGTTACAAAAATTTAAAATACCTTCAATGTGTATGTAAGTTTGCTTCATACTGTACCTGAACATATGTTAGTGAATGCTAGATGGGCAGCTAGTCCTTGGCTGTGGGCCTGAACAAAACTTCATGTCAACAGTAAAAATTTAGATTGGTTAAAAGAACAGGAGTACTTGTGGCACCTTAGAGACTAACAAATTTATTAGAGCATAAGCTTTCGTGGACTACAGCCCACTTCTTCGGATGCATATCCGATTGGTTAAAGTATACTTTGTTTCAAAAGTAAGATTTACACATACAGTCAACCGTCAACTGTGCTTCCTAAACATTACTCAAGCACAACCAAATCCTGATGATGGTCAGAAGCAAATACCCCAAATGTAAGTTTTCAATACTTAAAAAAATACCTTATTTAGAGAGACTATTATATCACATACTTACTATAAAGATAATTTCCCCTTTTCACAAGTAATAATGTGGAGTATAACCTGATGACTATTTTCCCCTCACCACTATGCAGACGAATTGGTAAATGTAACATGAATGAATAAATATAGGAGCGTGCAAAAGTGAAAGAATAGTACCTTGTCCTGGTTCAAAAGATTCAGAATATTAAAAGTTGATTTACCTGGTCTTACTCTAAATTAAAAAAAAAAAAATCTAACATTGGGTCATTTTGAACATAATGGAAATAAAAGGAATTATGGACCCAATCATGTTCTGTGTCATAAAGCCAATGGCACTTTTGCCTGTGAGGACTACAGAATCAGGCAGGTCAAGTTAGTTTCTTTCAGGCTAAATGCATAAGAGGGGACTTGAAATACCCAAAGTGTATTAGTTTAACTACCCAGATTCATGTAACCATTCAACATCATGGGAGCTGGAGGGGGAGATGAGGAGGAAAGGAGTTGGAGATTGGAGGGGATAGAGAAAGGAGGAAGATTTGCTTGTTATACCATGAAAAACTGCTATCTCAATAGTTTAATCAGGCTGAGCTTGGAATAGATTTTTACATCTATAAATGCCCTAGAATTTCAAACACTATCTTATGCTCCCATATCTTCATATAAATATATATTAATTTGTAAAGTGTCACAGCTCATAAGCCAGATGAACTTGAAAGACCTGTGTCATATCATCACAAACTAAGAATCCTCTCTCCCTCACCAGACTCCCACCCCCAAATCCCTCAGCCTAACTTTACAGATGAAGAAAGAACTTAAATAGTATCACTTGTTTTCTAAAATGCTTTGAACATTTATAAGGTATTTCTTCAAAGTAGCATGAGCAATATATCCAAAATAGTGAAGAACAATTGTTTTACTGGCACTTGTGAATAATGCACCCATCCCAAATGCAGACCAATATAACCTTTATATCTCCACACTCCAGGGTGCAATCTCTTGGAACAGTGTAATGTACATAGACAACAAATATTATTTATGTAGCTTAAGTCATACTAACTTAAATAGACAATCCAGATGTCACAATTAACTGCCTCAGATTTAGGAGTGAGAGTATCAAGCAGTATTTACTTTAAAACAGAGAATCATACAATTAGTAATGTATTGCAGACTAGAACATATTTCATAATTGCAGAAACAATTGCAGGTACATTCCTTAAAACATGCAACCTTCATTTAGTATTTGAGAGAGCTATGATAAGATTCCTACTTGACTAAAGTTATATGAAACTAAGATAATTAGAATACATTTGTTAAGGATCTTTTAGGTCTCAATCCTGCACAGGCAAATGAGCAGACTCAAATTACCTTCCTGTATAGAAGTCATTGCAGGATTGGGGCCTCAGTGACTTGGTACTTCACTCATAACACTCGTAAGTCTGGAATTTTTGCAAACCTTTTAAAAAGTGAAGGAACTTGTATCCGTATGAAACTCTTTGCTAACCGCTAACAAGGGGATTATTTCCATGTTCGTTATTTAAATGATGGAGCAAAGATGGAAAAGTAACTGTGTTATTTTCTCCTATTATCCATGTATGACAACACTGGGAAGCCATCACTTAAAAAAAATGTAAGTACTTTACAGCACATAACACACCAATAAAATAGATACACATATGGGTCAAGTCCTGCACACAATTATGCAATTTTATTCATGTGAGTAAAGTTATATGAATTAATGTTCCCCAGATTGGACTCTCATTTAGGAACAGTTACTAGTGTGTTTTATCTGATGTAAAGTGCTCACATGTATGTATGTGTATGTGCCTGTAGGATCAAAGTCTACAAAATTAAGATCTGACCTTGCAAGACCCTGATCCTGCAATGAGTTCTGCATGGGTGGACACGAACAGCACTGCAATGACTTCAACAGGGAGAAATTGTGAACTGAATACACAGTCAAATGAGGTAAATGAACTAACAACAATTGTTATTCTGGCCAGTACTGTGGGGTAGTGTCCTTTCCGTTCTAACTAAGTTAAATCACTACCTCACACATCAAGCACAAGCAAGGGGGATCACAACACGGCTGATTCGTGTTCAAATATATGTTTTGTAAGAGTCACAAGGCAATGACCTTTGCTCCAGTTTTGTGTCTCGCTGTAAAGACCAGGGGAGGGGCAGCCGTGTGCGGTGGGCACGGCCCACAATCAGACTTGATACTGGACAGGCCCCCTAGCTTGTCACTTTCACTCCCCTGTCCTAACCCCATTGCTATTCCCGCACACACACACTGGGGGAGGCGGGCTCCTTCCCACGAGCAAGGAATCGTGGTAGCAAGTTAACAGGGCAGAGGATGATTTTCAACCACCACCCGAGAGTCAGCCTGCAGCCCACTAGCCCCACGGACCAGCAAGGTGCCCACGAGCGACGCCCCACTTTACCTTGGCTGGAGAGCGTGCAGAGAGGGAGCGGCATGGTGCCTGCTTGGGCGCCCCCCGGGGACAGGGCAGCCTCCCCTCAGGGACTGGAACGGGGGCGAACGCTGCCTCCAGCCCCCCTGCCCGCTAGGCTCACCCCGCCCCCCTAAAGCGCTCTGGAGCTTCGGGTCAGCCTGGCGCTGCGACGCCACACACAGCCGCTGCCAATTGCATTCGCTACACACACTGCACACCCGCAGCTCTCGCCACCCCGTCCCCACCCCAGTGCGCCTGCGCGCTGGGCTACCTGCCGGGAGATGGAGTTCCCTCCCCGCGGAGCGGGGACTACTACCGCTCCCAGAATGCCCTGCGGGAAGAGGGGCGCTAACCACCGATGTTCCCTGATAGGGAAGTGTGCAGTACGGCGCATGCGCTAGCCCAGCGTGGCCGGAGAAAAGTAATTTCTTTATTATCCCATAATTAAACAAAATTCCCGGGACACGAGAAGGCGGAGCTGTATAATGGAATCCATGGCCGCCATAGCTAGTTGCCTGACGGCCGCAGGCCGGGAGGACGTCTGTTTCCGGCATGCATTGCGGCAGGAGAAAACCATCCCTCCCAGCATGCTTTGCGCCTATCAATGGTCTAATCTGTGTTCTCTTGAGAGTGCCGCACTGCATGCTGGGAGTAGGAGTTCAAGTGGAGCTGTACTGTGTGTCCGGATATTGCGGTCCACATTACCGAGCCCCTTCCTGCCCCAGCAGAACGGAAGTTGGGGTGGTCTATGCGGAGGGGGCGGGGATACGCTCTCATGGATCACCGACCCTACCACGGAGGGGGCGGGGTCGTCGCAGGCTCCGACTCCGCCCCTCGGGTAGGGGGCGGGGCTAATGAGTTTCGCGCGCGCTGCAAAACCGGTTGATTTCGAGCGATCGTTTTGCTGCGGCCGTTCCGAGCCCGAGGCAGGGACCATGGCGGAGGCGGGGCCGGTGCAGCCCGTCTCCCCCGGCGCCGGGCCCAGGAGAAGCCGGAGCGGCAGCAGCGGGGCGCGGCCGCTGGAGCAGCTCACTGACCCGCGGGAGTTGCTGGAGGAGGTGGAGATGCAGATCGATGACGTGAGTCTCCCCCGTGCGGAGCCGGCCCGGCTCTGCCCAGCGCCCGGCCAGCTGGGGAGCGTCCTGCCTCGCAGCGCGTGGTGGCCCCGTTAGCCCGACTGACAACGGACCTGGCTGATACCCATCGGCTGCTGGCGGACCCGTGTGGTGTGACGGCTCGGCGTGCGGGCAGGTCGTGGGTCTGCCCGTTACACCGGTGTAAGCCCCGCCGCTGTGTGGACACACACGCGCACTCTGCGTTCGAGGGGCTCGGCGGGTCCAGCTTAACCCCTTTCCGAGCCACATAAACTAAACCCTTTTAAACCGGAATATGATTGTTTGCGGGGCGGGGAAGGCATCAGACTTCTGCTCATACCTTTGTAGACAAGGGCTGATTAAAGAACCTGCCTTGTAGCCCTGACTTGGTCAGAGCATGGGGAAGTCCAGCCCAGTAACTGGCCTTCCAGGAACACGATGCAAACTCCAGACCGGCTGCACCCCCTCCCTGTATCTCTGAACACCCCCTGTGTGTCTAGTGCCCAGGGCTGGCTCCAGGGTTTTGGCCACCCCAAGCAGCCAAAAAAAAAAAAAAGCGATCGTGATCTGCGGCAGCAATTCGGCGGGAGGTCCTTCGCTCCGAGCAGGAGTGAGAGACCGTCTGCCAAATTGCCGCCGAACAGCTGGACGTACTACCCCCCCCTCCCAAGTGGCCGCCCCAAGCACCTGCTTGGTAAGCTGGTGCCTAGAGCCGGCCCTGTTGTTGCCAAAACTATAATAGGGTTCAAGAAAGAATTGGATACTTTCATGGAGGACAGGTCCACCAATTGCTAGTACAGGGGTCGGCAACTTTTCAGAAGTGGTGTGCTGAATCTTCATTTATTCACTCTAATTTAAGGTTTTTGCGTGCCAGTAATACATTTTAACGTTTTTAGAAGGTCTCTTTCTATAAGTCTATAATATATAACTAAACTATTGTTGTATATAAAGTAAATACGGGTTTTAAAATGTTTAAGAAGCTTCATTTAAAATTAAATTAAAATGCAGAGCCCCCCGGACCGGTGGTCAGGACCCAGGCAGTGTGAGTGCCCCTGAAAATCAGCTCACATGCCGCCTTTGGCACGCGTGCCGCAGGTTGCCTACCCCTGAGCTAGTAGCTAGGGTGGTCTGGGATGCAACCCTACGCTTGGAGTGTCCCTAGCCTCTGATTGCTAGAATCTGGGAGTGGGCAATGGATGGATCACTCAATAATTGCCTGTTCTGTTCACTCCCTGTGAAGCACCTGGCATTGACCACTGTTGGAAAATAGGATACTGGGCTAGATGGACCATTGGTCTAACCTAGCATGGTTGTTCTTATGTTCTTGCTGCAGGCTGCGTTCTCGCTAACTAAGATCCTTGAGGCAACATCTGCTGTGTCAGCCCAGGTAGAAGAACTCGCAACTAAATGTTCAGAAAATGCCCGATTTCTTAAAACGTGGCGGGATCTTCTGAAGGAAGGGTATGAATCTCTGAAACCCAGTGACTGACACTGTGCAAACACACACAGGAGGAAATCTGAAGAGGGTACCTGGGCAAGCTGAAGCTGAATCATCCCACAGCATTTTCATTTTGTTACCCTTGTCTTGTAATGACAGGACTTGGCTCTTGGCCGTGCTGGGTTAAGGAACGTCTGTATAAATGAAGACTTTAACAACTTTTTTGTGCTTTTTTCTTGATGGCTTAACAGGGCTTTTCATCAACTACCCACCTTCAAGGAAATGTTTTGTTCTGTGCGCAAGCTGTTTCTATGGAGAAATGCCTGTTGATACTGGTGCATGCATGAACATCATTCAGAATCTGTTGAATAATAGAATAGACTGTTTTAGTTTGGCTTGGGAAGAGGGACCAAATTTGGATTTTTAAACTGTTGGTTTCCTTGCAGTTCTATTGATTATCAAGTACAAATGAAATGTACTAAATGAAATTATTAATGTTACACTTGTGTTCAGATACTATACATAGGGAAATATCTGATACCTCTCTAATTGACCACTGTGATTCTGTAAATGAAGAATTCCCCAAGTGGTGTAATCACTTGCAGACAGCTATATTTTTGTTACCCCCCCTGTCCTTCAGGAATGTATATAAGCTTGTCACTGCCAAAATAAGTCTTTTTAAAATCTTGTTAATCAAACGAGACTCCTTGTGAAACTTTCTGCCCTCACTTATACCTGTATAAACTCCATCCTTACTCTGCCATTTAACAGGTATTAATATAGATATAACTGAGTCTAGAACTTGGTCTCTCATTTTTAAGACTGTAGCCCAGCTCCCTCCCTACACTGACAATCATCTTAGCCAGTTTTTCAATACTTTTCTACATAGTTGCATTTTTACAGATTATTTGATCACTGCAAACCCTTCTACACCTGATATTTTTATGTATTTTGGTTACTAAACTATATTTAAAGTGCCTTATTGTGTGCTTAGATCATATTTTTCTTACGATAGAAACTCAGCTGTATTGTGTATTAAAAGGTTGAGTTGCTATTTGACATATACATTTCAGTTTCAATAGTATCTGTGCTAATTCTCCGTTTTCTGTAATCTTTGAGATAATAGGCTGTATTAGAACTTGTTCTGCATTTCCTCCCATTTATTGAACTGGTAGGTTTGTGATTCAAACCCTATAATCTGGCATACCATTGTAAACAAGGATCTACTATCTAAAATATTTTTAATTTGTGGTAAATATTTGGATCATAGCTACTGTGCCCAGAAACATATGAAATAGCAGCACTGAAATGAGTTGGGAAGCTATAGAAAAATGTAGTGGTGTGCCATGACTGAGTAGTTATTGATCCCTATTTCTAGGTGTCTCCCACCCCAAGAAAATCTAATTATTTTTTTAACCTAAAGAATAAAAGACATTAGAACAAATATTGACCAGCTAATTATGGCAGCTTGTTTCTTCCTTCCTCCCATCCGTCAAAGCGTAGAGAAGGCTGTAAGTAATACATGTTCTCTTACTGTTCCTTGATTATTTAGCTAATCAACTTGATGTTCTCAAAGTGGAGTAAAGGAGAGTTAATGTTGCAGACATTCTGCATGATCCAGAGTATCAAGTGAGGATGTAAAATGAAATATGGTGTGTTTACTATTTTCATCAAGGGGAAAACAGTCAGTTTGATCAGCAGGTAAATCTTTATTCCAAATAAATCAATATATACAGTAGCGGAAACATGATACACATCTGTTCTGTATTTGATTCTAACATATTTCAAAGTTTTGTAAACAGTAAAGTGTGAGTCACACTATATTTTACTTCTTGTATCTTTTAAGAAGTTGAGTGCAAACATTAAAAACATCTTTTTGCTTTTTTTAAATAAAGCTTCAAAGTGTAAATGCAGAAGAGCATTTCCTCCAGCTGTGTTATCTTGGGAACTCAGCTGGCTACAAGCCAGTTACTGAAAGTCTCCTTATCCAGTATCCCTTTATTTCATAATATCAAAAAGTGTCTTTTTTTATAAAAATCTGACACACACATACGGAGAATCTGCCTGACTGCTCCAGTTGGGATCCCCCAAAACTTAGCTCAACGTTGTACCTTTTTAAAGTATTCATAAATCTGAAGCATTGTAATTGGTGTCCAGTGCCCCATGCCTGACTTATGAGTAACTCTTCAGAAAAATACTGCAACTGACTAAAGTTTAGGAAGCTGCATAGCCATTCATAGTTAACTTTTATATCGCTAGCAATCTGGTCCTCTAACAATAGACTGCATATGAATTACATTTTAGAATTTAGAAAGATACAAAGTGACAGCTTTAACCTTTTTGACTTTATCTGCCCAGTCCCAAAATGAAAAAAAAAATTGGATTGTTAGTAGAATTTTATTCGCATAAATATTTTTTTCCTATGGCTACTACTCCCTAAGGCTCTTCAAAAATGTATGTACTGTTAAGTTCACTCGCTGTTGTCTTTTTCTGATTTGACTTCTTGGCCATCACTGATGCGAATCCGTGTTACAGCTTTTTCCTTACTGCTATAAAACAGTGAGTCTACATCAAAGATGACTGTGCAAATTTTACTGTGACTATTCAAAACATTTATCTGTATGAATTCAATCTTGTGGAATGTGTGGTTACTGATGTTTCAGAGGAGTCTGTATAAATTGCAGGCTTTGTTAACTCTGGTGTGATCTCTTGCATTGGCCACATCTCTACCCAGATAAATGATGGGCCATATGTTTTCTGACTGCTTTTGCTTCCTATGGATCTTCCTTGTTTGTAATTATACCAAACCTGATGAATCATTTCTTTGAAAGGTCGTGTGGTCAGAGTGTAGAGGAGAGGATTCAAAGCACTATTTATGGGCAGTATAAAAATCACCACCCAGGAAGTTATAGTACCTTTAAGAGGAAAAAAGAAATTTAAATATTCAAAAGTGTATGTACTCAATAACATTGTATTAGTATATAATACTTTGTGTTAAAAGTAGTATATAAATATTAACTGATATCTTCACAGTGTTAGCACGTTAGCTTTCTTTTTCTAGCTGACTTTCACACAAGCCATTTAACTGAAATTTGTATCTAGAAAAGAAACAAAAAACATACCTGGTATTTCTACTTGAAGTAAAGAAAGCAATTTCAAAATAAAGATGGGAATCCAGCATAATGCATCAGTGAAAACAATGAAGAAAAACCGTTTTGCAAGGGTCATCTCTTTTTTAATATGATTCCGGATTTCAGTTGCTGTGATGGCTGTTTGGTGAACACTGTAAAACATACTTCCATAGGAAAACACAATGATGATAAAAGCTGCCAAGTTTACACCTGTTAAGAAGTTGAGGGATGTTAGTGATTTAAGACATGAATGATTATTTCCAGGCATGCAGCTTACTGGCAAATTGGGGAAGTTATAGGGCAGGTAGCAAAGGAGAATCTTTTATCCAAACTACTAGTACAACTGGAATTTAGATAGGTAGGTAGAACTTGAGTCAGACTTTATATAGGACATTGAGGTTAATGCCCCCTTACTTATAGTATATTTGTTAATTATCACTAAATAGTGAACATTTGCCATCTAAATCAGGTTGTGCATCTTGTAGGTCTGTGTTCTTTGGTTTCAGCATTGCTTTACTGACAATCATCTACCCAGATACATTACAACCCCTAATCCCTGTAGTATCTGAGCACCTGCTAACTACTAATGAATTTTATGCTTACAACAACCCTCTCACGTTAATATTATCCCCATTTTACAGATGGCTTATCGAGGCACAAGACAGATTAATTGACTTGCTCAAGGTCTCACAGGCAGTCTGCGACTGAACCAGGAACTGACTCTAGATCTCCTAAGCCCTAGTGCAGTGCACAGTCCACTAGACCATCCTTTCAACCCTAGAAAGATGTGGCCTAGACAGGCAAAGGTTGGGGGCTCAATCCCTGATTAGCACATGCTCCAACTCACTGGCCATGACTGGTCATCACACCATCATCAAACTAAGCAGTAAATGAGTAAACTTGTGTATAATACTGAGATTTTAAAAGTAAATATTTTTAAAATATTTTAATAAATTCATGGGTCTCATACTTTCAAGGAAGGCCCATTTTCAAACATGAGTAAATAAGGTGTTCAAATCTAATTCTTGGGTGCCGATCGTTGTACTTAAGTGCATAAAGTGGGCATTTATATACTAATCAGAGCATCCAAATATGGGATTTGGGCAGCCTAGTAAGGCTGCCATCTTCGTTTGAAAGTTGGGCTCCCCCTGTAGCTCCAGCGAACATATGTAAAGGAAGAAACATAACATACTTACCTAAAAAAATAACAACAGAATAAATCTGGCCTCCTGTACTTTCTGCCTGTTCTGAATGAAGAGGAAAACAGACCCCATTGGTGCCATAGTAGTTGCTGAAAAATTCCTTGTGGCTCAGTGGAATAAAAGCAACCACAAAGCCAATAACCCAGATGAGAATCAAAATGGAAATTGTCCTGCATTTTCCTGGCTTCAAACACCTAAAAGGGTAAACTATGCATATATATTTTTCCAAAGTCAGGTAAGTCAACAGTAAAACTGACACCTCTGTGGACAGAATAGCCAATGAGCCCACCAATTGGCAGTGGATACTGTCCATCCACAACTGAGCATGCTTGTTGTATTCTCCACGATATTTAACATCAAAGACTCCAATCACAAATAAATATATTCCCATCAGACAGTCAGCACCTGTAGAAATAACATTTAAGAACATGAATAAATAGGGAATAATTTGGTTTATATATCTGAATTGTCCTTTATTTTACAATATATATATATTTTAATAATATACTTAAAGTTCTACCAGCAACTATAAATAAGGTTACAAAATTCTCAATTCTAACTGGTTTTTAGTGACTGCTGCCTTTCTGACATTTTCACCATTTGGACTGACATATTTTCATTCTTGCTCTCTGCCCTAAGGTGATTTTTCTTTTAAGTTCATGCAAAAAACAGTTGTGATAAAGCATGAATAAAAATAATATACATTTCTCATTACAAAATATTTCTTGAACTTTTTTATGAACAGTTCTACTTCCAAAATGTCTAGAACACTGAAACTTGGTATGCAAAGTGTTCACATTGAGTAGAAGTGTCTTTGCTAGTGTTACAGAAATTTGGTTTTGATTTGCCCAAGCTATGATCCTATGAAAAATCATATGCTAGGCATGCACAATGCAGATTGCACAGAGCCTTTTGCTGAGGCTGAAAAGTTCTCAAGTAAGGTAGGCCACACTCCACATGTATGTGGCTGACTAAATAAGCTCCACAGTGAAAAATAAAATATTGTGGGAGGGTTCCTGCACATTTTCAAAGTATGCATTAGGGAGTTCTTCTCTGAGCCACCTTAGGCATTGTCAGGATTAGAGCTGTGTAAAGAAAGAGAATTCCATTTTGTGGAGGATTTCAGTATTTTGAAATTTGGTTTAATTATGATCTGGAACAAAAACCAAACATTTTAAAATACTCCAAAAATGGGAAAGTCCTGGAGTCTGCAACTTCAGGCCAGTCCACCCGGCTGATGACGCTGGAACTGTGGACTGTGGAAGCCTTGGTGTCCCTGACTCGGGGCAGTCCACCTAGCTGGCTGCCTCGTGTGGAGAAAGTAAATAAGGAGGTATTATTTACTCCTTCTCATAACACACGAACTAGGGGATCACCAAATGAAATTAATAGGCAGCAGGTTTAAAACAAACAAAAGAAGTATTTTTTCACACAACGCACAATCAATCTGTGGAACTACTTGCCAGAGGATGTTGTGAAGCCCAAGACTATAACAGGATTCAAAAAAGAACTCGATAAATTCATTGAGGTTAGGTCCATCAATAGCTATTAGCCAGGATGGGCAGGTGTGGTATCCCTAGCCTCTGTTAGCTAGAAGCTGGGAATGGGTGACAGGGGATGGATCACTTGATGATTACCGGTTCTGTTCATCCCCTTTGGGGCACCAGGTATAGGCCACTGTCGGAAGACAGGATACTGGGCTAGATCGACCTTGGCCTCAACTAGTATGGCCGTTCTTATGTTCTTAGAGCCACAGACCCTGGAAAGCCATAGAGTCCCTGACTCCAGGGCAGTCTGCATGAGTGGTTTCCCCTGACTCCTGGACCTTGGAAGCTCTGGAGTTTGCAGCTTAGGTGTAGTCCACCTGACTGTACCAGAGCCATGAACCTTGAAAGCCCTGAAGTCTCTGGCTCAAGGACAGTCCACCTGGCAGGCTGCCAAGGAGCTGTGATCCTAGGAACAGCGCTGGTAGGCAGGGTTCCATAGAACAAGAAAGTTGTAAGAGATAGCAATGCTGCAGGTGGGAGAGACAGGGTTGCCGTGCTGTGGACCTCGTAAGGATTTGGGATAGGGGTTCCTGGGGTGTCTAGCGCAGTATTTTGGACAAACCACAGAGTCCTGGACAGTGGGTATTTAGAAGTGCTGCTATCCTGTTTTATATGCAATTGACAATTACTTTCTAATGTGATTAATGTAATCTCATGAAATACCAAAGTTAAAGTAGACCTCTTTGTATTTAATTTATAATAAATGCAGTATGCAGTGTTGTAGCCATGTTAGTCCCAGGATATCAGAGAGACAAAATGGGTGAGGTAATATTTTTTATTGGACCAACTTCAGAAGAAGAGCTCTGTGAGCTTAAAAGCATGCCTCTCTCACTAACAGAAGTTGGTCCAATAAAATATATTGCCCCACCTACATTATCTCTCAGACACAGGCAGGGAATTTGTGATTACATTGATCAATTACGAAGTCGTTTGTCAACAATTCTTGGTTTTAAAATTTAAAAAGAAGCTCTGACATTCAGGGTCACATTTTCAAAGTCAATCCTGCATTTGCACACACAATCATTTGGTCATGTAAGGAACAGAATTTTCTCATGCAAACAGAAATCACAGAATGTGTGTAAAATTGAGTTGTTACAACCGTTATGAAAATTGGAATGTTTAGAACACAAATCCTGCTGGTGTGCACAAATTACTGTGTGTTCATAATTGTATTGAAGCTGGGTTAATGTTCCTTTGAAAATTTGGGGCTCATTCCTGTTCTTATTGAAGACAGTAATTTGACACTCAGCCTCTATAGGAGTAATATCAGACACTTGGCCTTCAGTGTTAACCCACTCTCCACAGTAACTTAAAGGTAGAATCCAACAACCTTTGTGTTGTTTGAAGTATAGCATTTTATATTATAATTTGGCTGAACTTTCTCGCTCTTGCAATCTAGTGCTGTGGGTGTGTCACTGCTGTATAATAATAAAATTTATAGCCAGACACACTAAAACCAGATTTTTATATTTGTTTGATACCTTTTATTTTGGGGAAATACTCACAGCAGAGAGACATTATTGACATGGCATGGAGCTTGTTCTCAGATCTGATGTAAGGCCGCATGCAGATAACAAAGATATTTCCAAAGCAAGTGACAGCAGAAACAACCCAGACAAACACTCTCTGTACAGTGCTAGCTAAGAGATTCTCAAAGGATGAAATCCCATCGGTATTTGGCTTACAGCTGCGCACGTGAGGGGCATATCCACAATACTGGAATTTCTTAAAATATCTGGTTGAGGAAAAAAGAAAATGAGAAAAATGTTTCACTCTGATTGTCAAATTGGTGTGGTTTGGGATACATGTTTTTCACAATAATATGGGCATTTGTGGAACACCTAGTAAAGATTCAAAGCACAAAATGTTTTCTGGTAATAGAAAACTAGTAATAAAGGTTTTTGATTTTTTCAGTAAAAAATAAATAAAAAAAAAATTAATGGAGATATCCTATCTCCTAGAACTGAAAGGGACCTTGAAAGGTCATTGAGTCCAGCCCCTGCCTTCATTAGCAGGACCAAGTACTGATTTTGTCCCAGATCCCTAAGTGGTCCCCTCAAGGATTGAACTCACAATGCTTGGTTTAGCAGGCCAATGCTCAAACCACTGAGCAATCCCTCCCCCTTTTTGTATACACATAAATGCATAAATTCATTAATGGATTCCAAGGCTAGAAGGGACCATTGTGATCATTTAGTCTGATCTCCTGTACGATGCAAGGCAAGAACTTTCCCAAAATAATTCCTAGAGCAGATCTGTTAGAAAGTTATCAGTGATGGAGACTCCACCACTACCCATAGTAAATTGTTTCAGTGATTAATTACTCTGACTGTTAAAAATGTAAACCTTATTCCCAGTCTGAATTTGAAATAAACTTCAAGTCTGTATAAAACCTGTCAGGGTATGAACCGATTAGTTAGTTAATGTTTGTTAGTGGTTTGATGCCAAAGAACGCTACGTATA